TACGAATCCATACAACATAAAAGCATACAAACCTGGAACAATCTCCCTTTCCAAATCTCTTAAATCATTCTCAAAATTTAAAACTGCTCTCTTTAACCATTTTTTAGAAAAACATTGTTTATAAATATTTATATCTTTTTACAACTTATTATTTATAACCCTAACGCGGAGCTTCTATTCATCTATTATTTTTTCTCTTTTCTATTACGGTAAATTACTAATTTTAATATCATTTATTAAATTTATTATTTTAAACTCAAATGTTTTAATAGCATTCTTTATATCACTATTGTTGTTATTATTATTATATTTTTATCATAATGAATATTATTATTGTTGTTGTTGTTATTATTATAACTAGTTTTATACTATTATTTTTATATTATTACTGTTGCTATTATTAATATCATTATTATTATCATTATAGTATATACTTTTTATAATCACTATTATTCAGGGTTGCCACTGTTATTTAGGAACAAAATTCCCTGATTTTCTCTGATTTTTTTGCAAAAAATTTACATTTTTCTCCCTGATTTTCCCTGATTTTTTGCTAAAATTTTTCTTTTTTTCCTCTGATTTTTCCCCTTGAAACTTGCTTGATATTTCCAGCATTTAAATGCCCAAACTTAGCATTAAAACTTCCCTAATAACCCCAGAGCATTTTTTACCTCTAAAAAAACAGATACTATAATCCCCCAATAAGTAATTAACCAATCAATTTGCTTAAAAATTAAAATAAATAATCAAATACTTCAATCAACATATGAAATTTTTCTTCGAACCAGGGTATATTTAAAATGGATATGTTCAACAGGCGTTGAAAACCTGTCAGACTTATCTAGGATACAAGATAACGAAATTCAAAAAAATGAAATGAATGTAATAAATTTCTAACTGTATGTTTTACATACATCGTTTAATACTTTTTTTCTTTTCTTCCCAATATTCCCTGATCTAAAAGCATTATCACGCTATTTTCTTTTGCTTGGAATATTCTATTTTCCTCCAAATAGTTTTTTTTATTGTAATGAGGCACTACAAACACCATTTATCATTTCATTGTTTATTTCTATTTTGTGAGACTTTAATTTGTTTGACACCATAAAATCCTTGATAGTGCGACAAGATATAAGTGACAGTCCTTTCATTTTTTCACTGAGTATATTACTGTTAATACTGAAACCTCTCTCAATTGATGCTTGCCCATGACATAAAAATAAATATCAAAACTTTTGACAAAACCTTATAATCTACACCAACTTTATTCGTTTCAAAATAAAAGTAGATGAACTTTTCTCTGACAACTTTAAAAATTGTACGAAAGCTTGATCACATTCATTTGAAGTAATATGTGAGCAAGAAAGAACTAGATGTAGTACAGATTTCATCTGAAGAAGATCAGCTTTTTGTTTAGAAAGATTTGACACTGGATTGATGCAAGCAGTTGCTTCCAGAAAAGAAAATTGATTCAAACTTCTTTCTATTATTTTTTCCAGAATTCCAAAGATAATGAGACAGCAATCTTTTATGAATCTATGATGACATCCTGAGATAATGCACCCTTTTTTTCTCAATTCGATAATGTCATGTTCTGCAGCAAATCCTATTATCATTAATTTTAATAGCAGAAAGTTTTCCTTTTTTGTAAAATCATATTATTGAAGTTTCCTGCCATTAACAATGCTAAGGAGATCTTGTTTTATAATTAAACCCATTAAACTTTCAACAGTTGAGAACAAATCTTCAAAAAGAAAGGGATCCATTTGGGCATTGGTTTGGTACCTCAGTAAGATTTTCTGCAAAAAACTTGCAATGTAACCAAAAAACTTCAATTTAGTCAGAATTAACATATCTTTTGTTCCCTCGAACCAGAGTTGTTAGTCCTTGACCTGAAAATTTTGGTCTTGGTATTGATTGTTTTTGCCTTAACCATAAACTCTTGGCCTTGCCCTATTAACTTTTAGCCTTGATCTTGGCCTTGGACTTATAATGAGCGGCCTTGGTAATTTTGGCCTTGTTAACAACTCTGCCCCAAACACTTGTCATAGCTCTTTCATTTTGGTTACTTACTTTTAGAAAGAGTCTCCCAATACTTGGTTATTTTTTTAAATATTCTCCCAAAATAAACAAAGTCTATCTACAACTTTTTGGTCTACAACTCAGCGTGTAGAGCGAAATGCACAAGGAAAACTCTCACATTTAGTAACAGTTACATAATCAGCTCTTCTAGCTGAAGAATCATAAAAAAGGTTGTATGATGCTTTCATTAACTTCTTTATATTCCATTCAGCAGATTGAAAACCTGATTTGAAACCATGTATTAGATGAAGGTTACAGCTTCCAACGTTAAGAAGTTTAGGTAGCTCTTGTTGATCATGCTGCAATTCAAGAAGATTAAGAAGGGACCAGTTCACATTTGTACCTTCCATACTTAGTTGAGTCATACTTTGAAGTAAATTCTTTGCTGTGGGGTAACCTAAAAATTTAGAGTCAAAATATCTGGATTCAACACGATTTAAATTGCTGCTCTAAAACTGAATTTTTAGATCCAATTGGACATTTTTGCCTATTATCAGCCATTTTTCAAACAAAGGATCAATTAACCATTTTTCTTTGAATTATGTTGCAAACATTAAATTAATGTAAACACAATATGATTAATTTTCTTTAAAAATGTTAAACATTAACCCTGGTATCCTTAAAAAGGAAGATTTTTATTAGAAAAAATATAAAACCATTAAAGAAAAATTAAAAAATTCCCTGATTTTCCCTGATTTTTTCCTAAATCAATCTTTTCCCCCTGATTTTCCCTGATTGTATCTAAATTTCCCTGATTTCCCTGATTTGGTGGCAACCCTGTTATTACTTTATTATTCCTACTTGTATTATAACTATTATTAATATCTCAATCTTATTTTTATTTAGTCTGATTACAAATTACTATTTGTAAATATCCTTGATATATATAACAACTATATTCAGAATATATTTGATTTGATTTGTTTGGTTCTTAACCATTGAACTATAATTCATGTTCCTAATTCGCCTGAAATTTTTACTAATTTTTCTCGTAAATGTTTTCGTAAATTTTTCTCGTAAATGTTTTTGTTTTTCAAATGGTTCTCTTAAATTTAATTACCAAAAAATTTTTATTAAATAGTAAAAAAAACTTTAATTTGTTGAATTTTTTCACTCATTTCTTGAATTTGAAACAAACAACAACAACAAAAAAAAATGGTGTCATTAATCAAAACTTGTATTGACGTTTCTGCAAATATTTGATTTATATTTATATTTGAGTTATCTTTGATAACTATTAACACAAGCGCTATATTTAGAGACAATGTTGCAAGTTATTTTAGCAATCATTCATGTTTCTAAAATTATACTATGTTATAAAGATAAAACAAAATTTTCTTTAAAAATGGAAGGCAAATCTCTTTTTCCTTCTTTCCTTAGGTTTAATGTCATTGTCCTACTTAAAACAACTAAAGAATAAAAAAGTACCTAATAGTATTAAACAAAAAAACAATTATTTCTTCCTAATTGCTTTTTTTATACTTAATAAAAATTTGTTGTCTTTAAAGTAACTTTTTATCTATCTTGTTCATATCAATGCGATTTTAATTGTTTCATCTTTGTAGTTTAGTGCTGTTGGTCTAAGGATTGTGGTCTGGGCAACATTCTTATCATATGTTCTCCAGAACATTTGCATTAATCTCTTTATTATTTAACAAGTGCTTAACTGAATTTTGTTTCCTTCCTGCTGGAAATGTAAAATGTTATTCGACTTTTAAAAACTTGTGAGATTTTTGCATTAGTCTTACAACGTCAAACCTTGAAACTAACAAACCATTCTCTAACAATCGATACTAACTTAGATCTTCTCATTCAAACGCTGACTTGTTAACCGTTATTGGCAGAGAAGTTCTATTGTGCCTTACTGCTTTATTTCAAAAGCTTTTAATTAAGTCTGTTTAGGTGCAACATTTACTTAGTCTTTTATTGATTTGATAAAGCTGTATAATGAATTAACTACTTTTCCTATCAAATTGATGTTGCAACCTTTTTTGCTGGTTAAGTAATATCTATTGTCATTGGTTGCTACAAACCATTTCCTCTTTATTTTTTAGAGGCTGTTTTTTTAGTGTATATACATTCATAATACACAATTATATTTTTCATGTACAAAATGTTAATTAATGGTTATGCTATAGTTTTTTAATATTAAATTCTTTTTATCTACTTTTACTTTTTTTAATGACAAGTCATCAATTAACTATCTACCAAAAAGAAGAGTGGCATACTCATACGCTAATTATAAGACAAACATGTATCTGTAAAATTGTTTTTTATATACAAATGTTTTATTTTTTTGAACCAAATGCCATATGTTAATATTTTATTTCTTTTAAATGTGACCATAACATGTGCATAACAAAAATAAATTTCTTATGAAATTTTTTCTGCATTAATTTAAATATAACAAATTCAGAAAACTATTTATTTATATAACTTTGTAAAAGATTTTCCATTATGTCTTTGTTAAATAAATAAATAGCATCATAAAAACCTACCCAAACCATAGCAAAAAACCATTTCAGCTAAACTTTGCTTAACTTTTACAAAAAATTGTGCAAATAAACAAATCACAGACTAATGCATGATACTATATATATATATATATATATATATATATATATATATATATATATATATATATATATATATATATATATATATATATATATATATATATGTATATATATATATATATATATATATATATATATATATATATATATATATATATATATATATATGTATATATATATATATATATATATATATATATATATATATATATATATATATATATATATATATATATATATATATATATATATATATATATATATATATATATATGTATATATATATATATATTACTTTAAAGATTGCATTTTAGCAATCAGTTACCAATTATAAAAATTTACCCAAATTTTAACTGAATACCATAGCACACAAACAAAATATCTTCACAACCCATCATCCAAACATAACAAATAGTGAACACATCTCAATACTTTCAATTACTTTTATCTAAAAAAAAAAAAAAAGATTGTAAAATTATTTTTCAGACTATATATTTAACATCTGTTATTTAAAAAAAAAACTTGTTTTTCAAACTAATAAATTATTTTTGACAAACATGCAACATAACATTTATAATTTCAAAAACTATTTATCTAAAATTTACATGTAACGCCCTACAACGATTATTCAACGATATTTGTCATTCAAACGAACTAAAAAACTACGCCATCGTCAAGTATAGAGGGATAGTAAGTATATTTCTAGCAATTTAACAGTTCTTAATATTGTACACAAGTATTCTATAGAACAATGCAAAATTGTATTTTGTGTATTTATTAGAATTTTCAATCTATATATATTTTTAAATTAGCAAACAAGCAAAATTCCATCGAAAAACAAACAAAGAAAAAACGCTTCTTATATTTGAACCACGAACGCTATAATAACATTGCAAAAACCGAAACGATTTCAAAAGTAAAAACAAATTATATAATGCAAAACGGCAAAACCTTATCGAAGAGTATACTTAAAAAGATATTTAGTAAGCTCTTTATTTGAATGCATCACAAATGCAAGTTCAGTACTTTCTTTCCATTCGTAATTTGATTTCAAGAAAACGTTTGTGTTAACATTCTTCTCGCTTCGTATATCAACGATAATCTACGTTAGCAGGATGGGCTGGCTCAGGATACCTAGGTTGCATAAAATATATGGTTGAATCTTTAGCTAAAGTTATTAAACTACTCGATTTAAAGTTAAATATTGATAACCGTCGCAACTAAAATAGACAAAATGCATTATTTTGATTACAGGAAAATTTTATAGCTAAAACTTGTAAGCTTTGTGATTAAATTATTCCTAATTAAGAACTAATAATGTAGAACCATTTATTAATCAATTCAGTTAAAAATTAACAACGAAACTTAATCTTTTTATCTATATGCTAATAAGAAACTAAACTAAAAAAAAAAAAAAAATAAACAAAGGAAACAAACACCTCTTATCAGCAGGACCAGCAGCAGTTGCATAGCGATCTCTTTCAAAGTTTTCAACCCTTCTAGGATCTCTCTCGTAAACATCCATTCTTCTAGTAGAAGCAAGGGCATATGGATCAGACGGAATTGTATCATAGGGATCTCTTCGTATTGTATAAGGATCTATTCTTGAAACATCTCCATATGCTAGCTTTTCTCGAGCAACTGCATATGGATCAACAGGTCTAATATATGGTGATCTAAATAAAAATAATACATTAATATACATTTGCTAAATAAATTACAAAACAAATGAGGCGCAGCCAGGTATAAACCATAACTAAAATAAATTTCTAGTTTATAAAATAAATAAAGCTTTTTATAATAATAAAAAAAAAAAAACACAAATAAAACAAACCTTAAAATAGGACTTCTAGATCTACCTATGACACTATATCTATCAAGCTCATATTCACTACCATATGGATCAGGACAATATGGATCTCTTGACAAATATGGGTCATGTGAATAAAGATCCCTGGAATACATATCACAAGCATATGGATCTCTATAGTATGCATCACGTGTATAAGGATTTCGAGGATAAGAATCTCGTAAGTAAGTGTTCCTATTAGGAATTTGTGGAGGTCCATTAAATCGCTCTCTACTGTTGCTATACGGATCTCTACCTCTAATAGGCCCTGTATGTCCACGCCTTCCTTCCAAACGAGCTCTTAAATTTATATAAAAATATTTAACCCATAAAATACATATATTATATTTGTATGTTAACATACATATATTAAATACATACTATAAGTATGTTAACCAAGACAAACTTTATAGCTGTTTATGTGAATAGGAAAAATAATTTAGTGGGTGTAGCCCAGTAAACAGACTGCATAAAGGTTAGTTGATGCACTGATCAAAATATACTCTAAGGTATTGGCCAGGAATATATTTTTTACAGCATTTTTTTGATATTGGGAATATTTATTGATAATCTTCTTAAAAAAAACGTCACTGAATATTGGGAATTTTAAACCCATTGGAAATTTCCTAGTGCCATTGGCCTGGCTAACACCCTGTATTCATATGAAAATGTTTATATGTATGAGTGTGCCTGTGTATATATATAGAAATCTTGGAATTAGGAAAAATGGGGATGGTAATAATTTACTAACCCCAATCTTTTAGAGGTCGGCAAAAAATTTAATACAAAGGTCTTACCATAAAACATAGAAACGAGGTCTGCAATTTTTTGCCAACCTCAAACACTTATAGATAAGCAGTTAGGTTAGCATTAGTGCATCCAATACCGGTAGTACCGATACCGGTATACTGGTAGTACCGGACTTTTTTAAGTACCAAAATACCAGTTATTGTTAATAATATTGGTTTGGCTCAATACCGGTATTAAAAATATATGTAGAGAGCTTGTAATATAGCAGATGGGTCAACCCTCTTTTCGCGAAATACAAAATTAAATGATATATTTAAAACTTTCAGTCGCAATAAACAACGCTCCTGGTGGGATAAAGATAACTAAATAACAAATAACATGTTTAAAACGTGTAAAACACGTATTACTAAATGTATTACTTCTTTAACGCGTCTTTTATCTATAGGTAGCGACTAGCTAGATATTTGCTGGCTAGTTGTTAGTTCATTTCCCACTGGGCTTGTTTATCTTGTAATGAGAGTATAAAGTCAGGCTCGCTAAAGAGTTTGGAATGGAAAAAATAATAAGTTGTTTGATTGAATTTTTATATTAAAAATTATTGTTAAAAATATTTAGTAAAAGATAAAACTTGTTTAATTTCAAAATAAAATTTTGTCTTCCTTCTATTAATAAAGCACCGATTTAAAATATTATCATTACGCCACTTGCTTTAATGTAGATCCCATGTTTGAGTTTTGCACTAACGTAAATATGAAAAGTTTGAAATCGTTACAGTTGAGAACATTTTTAATTTAGTAAAAATCTCTAGATGATAGATAATTGTTTTTCACGGTGTAACTCATAAATGCAAAGTTATAGAATTAACAGCAATTATAGCTACGCTTACTTAACTTTACTTAAGGTGTAGATTTTCAGCGAGTGGCAACATTATCACAAAATTAGATCATCTATTAAGGATGATACTCTTAATGTCTTATGTTTTTTTACGGGCTCATTTTACAAAGGAGAAAAAAGCGAAAAATGAAAAAGTTAGTTATTTTGATGTAAAATAAATAAGCTTATTGAATCAATGAAATTTTTACTATTAACTTGAAATTTTATTCATATTATGGTAGGGAAAAGGCGCCTATGATGGCATACCAGTCATATTTCCATAAAATTGACTTTGGTGAAAAAGTGATTAGACCTACATGACTATACTGACTATACTTTAGTTTTAGTGAAAATGCGTTCTTTGTGCACAAATATTGTTTTTATAATCAACAAAAATCGATGTTGGGATGTGCTGTTGTAGTTTTATTCCCTTCATATATTTAAGATTGTGATTTACTATTAACTGTGCAAAAAGGAAATTTTCATGCATTTTATATCCAAGTTTTGTGCATTTAGTGGAATACTTACTTTAATTTTATCTTTTGAACAAGACAGACAAAAGTTTTTTTTTTGGTCCAAAAATACATAAAATGCAATATATCCTATGTGCATGCGCAAAACTTTACAATGCTGCTTCGTAGCATGAAATGGTAAATTAGGGTAATTCCTGGCTTTTCTGAGGGAAGTTTAAGTAAAATCATAAAGTTACCCTTGATCCTAACAAGCCCCATCCACCCCTATGCCATGATAGGAGAAGTGGTTGCCTATGATGGCATACTTGTGCTTTTTTTTTATAATAAGAACTAAAAATAAAAAAAAATAAGAATAAATAATAAAAAAAACAAAACTGATCAAAACTCAGATTATTGTTTTAAATGTAACAAGGAATGTATCCATATCAAAACTTTTATTATTGGTCTTCAGGATACTGAATAATGAAGCTTCAAAGTTAAGTATGCCCTTATAGGCGCCTTTTCCCTAATTTAAAAAAAAAAGTTTAATACCGATATAATACCGGTATTGAAATTATTCAGTACCGAAAAGCCAGTATTGAAAAATGGTATCGGTATTGGAAGCACTAGTTGGTATTGCCGAATGCCGACTCTAATTCTGAGGGCTGTATAAATATATACACATATAGTAGCAGACAATATTAAATAACATTGTTGATAAAATGGAAACTCGAACAATAAAAACAAAATATTTGCAGATGGTTCTAATTTTTTTTAAATTTATTTTCAAAGAACAACAAATCTATTTAAAACTTTTTTTAACTCATTACAAAAGTAACTTTAGTAAATGAAATTAGCTGTGTAACTAAAGTAAGAAATATCAAAATTTTTATTATGAAGTATAGTGATTTGTATAAGTATTTTGTTTTCAATAACTATTATTACTAATGCAAGAATATCATATCTGATTTTCATTTAAGCACTTTGTTGAACCACCTCTTGCTTTATGACCCTTTTAGATATCTTGGCATGCTTTTTATAAGCTTTGACACAACGTCAGCACCAATTGAATTAAATTAAACAAGTTTAACTAAGAACTTTTTTTTTGATTTGTTTGTTTTGAAGGACATTTAAAAAATTACCCATAAAATTTCAATGGGGTTAACATCTAGACTTAGTGGCAGCCGTTTAGAGATAGTGACTTGACTTTTTTAAGGAATTCTCCTGCCACTTTGCTTGTGTGTTTGGGGTTGTTTGTCTTGTTGAAAAAAGAATTTGCTATTGTAATATATTTCATAATATTATATATATTATTATATCAATTTTAATTTTTTTTAAATATATAAATAATGCACATTATTACATAAAAAAATATTTTAAAAAACATTTAACATATAACTATTTCACAACTATTAGCTAACTAAAAACAAATTAATAATATTATTAACTTAACTACTAGTCAATTTCCGTCCTATAACAATCCAAAATACAAATATAAACAAATTGTAGCAAAATTAAACTTACTACTTGCCTGATGATTGTGGTAACACATGTAATTCAGTTGTAATATTAAATTATATTATAAACATTAGCATTTAGCTAATTCCTGGTACTGCGGGTAAAAGTAACATATATACTATATAGCTCTAGTTTATCTATTGAGCACTCTTTTAAGTATACATTATTATATATGATATTATAAAGATATTTTCTTTATTCATATATATATATATATATATATATATATATATATATATATATATATATATATATATATATATATATATATATATATATATATATACACACACACACACACACAGTGTATATCGTCAGTGTCAACCGTATATATCGACAGTGTCAACCGTATTTGGGTGTTGCATAAATTAAAATTTGAGGACCTTCTTTTTAACATTTTTTACAACAAATATTGTTTTTTTTTTCCGTGAAGAAACACAGATTTTCCGACGAAATTCTCTGTGATGGGAGGGATACCAACACCCAATTTTTTTTCCTAGAATAGCCACACGCACACACATATATATAAAATATGAAAATTGTATAAAAATTTTTAGTCTACAATATCAAAATAAATTCTAATAAAATTAAACAAAAGCTTGTTTTCTCAAAATGAAATAAAATATATACCTCCTTTGTGAACATTCTTTTGCCCTTAAATTAAATGTTGAAAAAAAAAAAATCATTAACATTTTAGTTAATATCTAAAAAAAAAAAAAAATTAAATAATGTTACTTTACACCTAAAACTTTTAAAAAAATGTTTTTAATAGTAATCTAACTATTCTATATACATGCTGAGCTGTAATATGCCGTGACTAAATAGCAAATTTACATTCACCTTTGTTACACTTCAAATAAAGAAAACTTGTTTGTGTTTACTTAGATTGTGCTAGATATAACAGTAAACTTATACTAGTGTTTATATATATATATATATATATATATATATATATATATATATATATATATATATATATATATATATATATATATATATATATAATTGCATAAAAAAAGATTTTACTTCACACTAAAATTATCACTAAAACATAGACAAGATTTGTGCAAACTTGAAAGTACCAAACTTTAGGAAGAATTGATACATACATCTAGACAGATGCAAGAATAAATTACTTTCAATTTTTTAAAAATAATTTTCTATTCATTGTCAATTATATTAACAGCAGTTATTTACGATCAACAGATCATCTCGAAAAATAAACAAATTGTGATTGTGTGTTTTTCTTTGCTAAATATTTTTTTACAAATATAAATAAAAAGGTGAACAGTCAGAAACATTCTCTTCTTAGTAAATCAGCATAACTATGATAACTTTGTATCATTAAATTATTTGTTAAAAATTTTAAAAGCCTCTATTATTGTAAATAGTTTATTTTATCAATGATGACTATTTTAATTGAATATTAACTACTGTTTAAGTTATACTAATATATAAAAAGTCTTATTAAAACCCATGGCAGAATACTCATTAGGCAAAATAGAATACTCATGAGGCCCGTAATTTTAGTATATATAAAAAGTTGATTCAAATTTTTAATAGTTATTTTATTTCATTGATGATTTAGAGAAATTCCTAATATCTCATAAGACGACTCTTCATGATTAGCTGGCAGATGAAGCTAAATTTTCATTGAAAAAATTAAACCATATACTTACCAATATTAGAACATATAGATAATGAAGTGAGAAAAAATTTGGTTGCATATATTGTCTTTTGCAATAGCTTACATATATTGATAATTAGGAAACTTAAAAAAGAAGAAATTTCCAAAAAGCCAGGTACATAATAGTGATGTAAATTTTCCAGTAAAATTTGATTCAAAATTTTCCGGTAAATTTTAAATAGAGAACGGTAAATTTTCCTTTAAAAAATTAAAAAAAAAAAGTGAAAAAAATTTTTAAAATTTACCAGGGGGTAAATTTTCTGGTAAATTTTACCTTCGCAACACTAGTACATAATGCAAACTTCAAAAAGAACAGGTAATATAGAAACAAATTATAAAGAAAAAGTTATCTAAATCTGTGATCACATCAAGTATAGTACCCTTATGAATGATCACATCAAGTATAGTACCCTGAATGAATAGAGTATATCACAGTAAATTAACTTATAACCTAAATCAAAACAACCAGTTAAGTTTAGATAGTAACTTGCAGTTACTCAAGTATTAATTTAAAGGGGTCCCCAGTGCCGAGACAAGTTGTGTTCATATCGTAGATAAACATTAGAAAATAAGTTTAAAACTAATTAAACTTTTTCAAAACAAATTATTGAATGAGATATTAATAAAGCATTTGTTGTTTTGCCATTATACTTCCGGTTATAAGGTCAATATTAACCTTACGAATTTGCATAGTTTTTCCGTTAAAAAACATCTGGTTTTCAGTAATAAATGTTTTCGCTTACTGCAGAGTTTTTTGAACTCCCACAATTATATTAGGTTTTCCCCTTAATATTTAGTCTACGGTGGTTATAATAACATTCGCTGTAGCATGTTTTTGTTTTTTGTTTAGCGTATCATTAAGTGTTTGAGTTAAATTAAATAGCATAATAAAAATAGTAATTTAGGTGAAGAGAACTTTAAAATACACAAGATGAATATTTTTTTAAGAAAATAAGTTTTTTTTTTTAAATATACACCACTAAGTACAATATCATCAGGCCTTGTGATGAATAAAAACTGCGCGACACATAAGCACGACGTGATTTTTGACGTCATTAAATTCTTTTTATTTGTTTTTCATATTTATTGACATTAACTGCACCAGTTTACTTAATTACCGCAAAATTACTTTAAATCATTAATGTAGAAATGTTATTATTTTAAAATGTTTTGGAATGTTTCGTTTTTTAAAATGTAAAAACATTTGTTTATTTTCTCGACGTTTGACACGTTTTGTATATACTAAACAAATAAAAAACATTATAAATAAACATTTAAAAAAGATAAAATATGCTTATATTTGATTTTTTTTTCTTCTCAAATATGTAATTTAAAGTTTTTCAAATAATTATTTTTTCTTTTTAAAAAGTCAGAGAGTAATAAACTGGAAATTTTAATATTGTACGATTAAAAACTGTGCAATAGCTAATATTTTTACCAGTGATTTTGTATAATATTTTTTTATTTATTTATTTTTATTTATTTTCATAAAGCGGTTGATAAGCACAATCACTCGTATTACTAAAAAATAAAATAAAATGCTAGAATAAAAATCTTGTAGTACGTACGTGCGTATCCAATGAGTTACAGCACCGATTACGTAATCAAAATCTTCGACTATTTTATCAAAGCATGCTTAGCGCTTGAGTTGTAAGAATGTATTTTGTTGTGTTATTTTTTAGGATTTTATATCAGCATAGACTTTTTTTGAAAAGTGGAAGAGTTAAACTTCTTTTTTGGATAGATTTTATTGAAGTTACGACCACTTTTATTGAATTTACTTTTCTTAAAAGCTTCGTTGTTGATCACACGTCAAATTAATATTGAAAGAATGTTGAGAACATTTTTGAAACTATTGAGAAAAATTTAAAAACTTATTTTCTACGTACATGCCAAATTTTAACTAAAAAGGTTATGTAGCAGACACCTAATTTTTTGTAGCAGAATATGTACCTAAGTTAAAATATTGTAAATAAAGCAAAATATTGCGCTTCTATCAACAAAGTTCCATAACAAAACTACCGTTACTTAAATGAGTATAACTTTTTGTAAAATTGTTGTTCTGTTATAAAATTTTCATTATTGTAATGCTGATTTTAGCCTCTTTTTAATGATATATAATAATCAATAATAAAAATAGTTTAAAATTTTTACACACTTTTACTTATAGGTATAAAAAACATATTTCAGGGAAAAAATTTGCATATTGAACAATATTTAATGAAAGCTGCGCTAAAATAAAAAAAAGAAAACATTACGTGGTTAAATATGAGAATTAATTTTATTTTGTAAATAAATGGCTTATGATTACAGGCTGCAAATTAATTTTTATTTTATTTTTTACGTTTATTGAGCCCTTTTCAGGGTGTTTTTGGAAATTCGCTTTACATTGGTAGAAACCGGGTAACAAAACCAGGTTATATAAACTTATCAAACTATTGACGTTCTATTTTTCAGCAACTGTTCAACTGAGCACGCTTCGTTGAGTTTCGGTAACTTTTAACAAAAAAGCGATTGTTATTAATTAATTTTTTTTTAAGTTACTTTTTACAAAAATTTTAATAACTGTACTTTTTTATTGAATCAAGTAGAATACGTTTTAATATTAATCCTTTTGTTTATTTTTTTATTTGCGCTTGCCAATTTTCAAAATATTTCCTCGAAATTACTCTTAAATACGTCTAACAGTTAATAAATATTTTTAAATCTATGGAATAATTTAAAAACTAACAAACCCCCGTAAAATAACTATTTAAGTTAAAAATCTAAAACTAAAAGAAAGTATTTTTGTTCAATTTTATCGACAACTTTGCTATTGCTGAATAATTTTATTAAAATGTATATTTTAACTTTTTTTTTAATCTGAACTTTTTCTACTTGAAAATAATGAGCATATTTAATTTTTTTTGTAATTCAAACTTTTATATTAACTGCGTGCAATTTTTAAAATTATATAATTTAAAACTTATTTAATAAAAATATATAATTTTATTCCAATTAAAAAAAAAAAATTAATTTAGATTTATAAAATATATGCAAGTTTATTAAAATTAAAGTTAATGCTTAAGTTTAACTGTCAAATTTATTAAAAAGTATTACTAAATATTGTTCAATATTTAAATTTTATTTATTCTTAAAAAAAAATTGGCTCATTTGTATTTTTGGTTTCCCTTCCTAAACATTTTTTTTTAAATCATAACTAAATTTTAAATAAATGGCTGCATCAAAAATTTGCACAAAACGTAAGTTAAACTTTTTTATAACGCAAGTTAAATCACAACAATTATTTTTTAATAAATTATATATACAGCAATATAATTTTTATAAATGTTTGGAAAAATAATCGTTACTTTCACAACAAAGTCGTTAATAAAATAATAAAATATTAATAAATAAAGTAAACAAATTAAAATAACTTTTTTATTTGTTACTCGCTAAATTTTTTTCAATTGCAGAGCCGCAATCAGAAATTAAAAACATAATCATTTGAAAATACAAAAATTTAACTTTTATAAAAATTCAAATGTTTATTCATTGAACTAACATCTTAAACTTATATTTCACGAAATATTACTCTGAGCAAGGCTCGTATAGTCAACTAAATGTCTAATGTTATTCTAAACCTGCGTCAAAGAAATTTTTAGTTTATCTATATTTTATATAATTTACTATACCAACAACTATAAATTTAAAATACAGTAGTAATGCATTGGTAAAGCACTTTATAAGTAAGAGAAGCAGAATTAAAGCTTAAACTACACCCACAGAAAATCACAAAATGAAATCTTACCAATGGCCTCCCTTTCCACACTCAAAACATAAATCATCCCCTTCTGGCAAATTTTGCTTGTTTTTTGAAATCTAATAATAATAAAAATAAAATTCAAATCACATAACGATAACAAATAATTTATAAGTATACTGAGAAAAACAAAATTTAATGTAGAAATAAAGTTATCAGCGCAAATCTGTGTAAACACGAGCTTTTATGTGTGCTAAACTGTGTTTCATTTGTTTTGCCAAAATATATTATAAAAATAAACCAAAATATTTTTTGAAAAGTTCTTACAGTTCTTAAAAATAAATAAACAGGCCTTGTTATGACAGGATTCCCACTTTTAGAACTGAGGTTAAATGTAAGGATTTCGAGAAGATTTAAGGAGACATTTCCCTAATATTTAAGGAGATTTGGTTGTGAATGACAATTTTTCGAAAGAAAAAGTAAGGAGAATTAAGGAGAAAACGGTTACATTAGAAACAGTATCTTATTTTTTTCAATAAACTTTTAATATAAACTTAATATAAATATAAAATTAATAGATTAATATATAAAAATAAACTTAATTTAAATATAAAATTAATAGAATAATATATTATATAAATTACATATATATAAATATAAATATAAAATAATGAAAATATAAATATTATAAGAATATAAATATTATAAAAATAAATATAAATATTATATAAACTACATATATATAAATATAAATATCTATATAATTGAAACAGGTTTGCCGACTATCAAAGAACTATATACTTTCTTCTTTATTAATAAGTATAATCCTTCACTTTAATAAAATTTCCTCAATAAATAAAAAATAAAAACAAATAAGGAGAAATTGAGGAGAGCAGTCAAATTTGACCGTTTTTAAAAGTTATTTAAAGACTTTTAAGGAAGATTTTTTTAAAAAAAGGATATTTAAGGTTTTTAAGGAGTGGAAACCCTGTATGAGATTTTATTGCATAATGATAAAATCTAATGTAAGGAATTTTACATTCCTTCAAAAAAATAAAAACTTTAATATTTCCTTCATAAATTTAAAATTATAAACCCATACTTAATAAAGTCTTGTATTAAAAAAAAATCTTATACTAAATTATATTATATATATTTAATTAAATTATAATATAATAAATTTTAGTCTTATATTTAAAAAAATAAAATAACCAGATTCTTTAAAAAAACAGTTGCAGTTAAATGCTTTTTTTTATGACTTAATATTTTAAAAACGTTACACAAACAATATTAAAAGATAATTTAAATATTTCATTAAATTAGATTTTTAGGTAAATTAGTCAAAATAATTAATTTGATCTTAAATTAAAGTGCCAAGTTTTTTCTTAAAGGTTAGTTCCGGCTCTTATTTTTTTTGGTATGATTAACGCTTTTGTAGTCAAATGACATCAAACAAGAATGCTCAAATACTCGTTATATTTGGGTTTTCCTTTTTGCAATTAATTCTTATGTAGATCAGGCATGTCAAACTCAAATTTAAACATGGGCTAAATAAATAATTTAAAATTTTAGGTGTCAAAATTGAAGAAACTTTTTTTAAAATATTAACTGAAATTACAAAATAAACACAAAAAAACAACAACTAAATAAATAAAAAATATATATATATATATAAAATTAAATAATTTCCTAAAAAACTAAATAACAAATTATAAGTTGAGGGCCGCGAGTTTGACAGCCTTAATGTAGATAAATGCCTTTATATATAACCATTTATAAAATGTTAAAAAACCAAAAAAAATAGCGAGCTCAATAAGTAAATGGTTTAAAAGTATAAATTATATTTGATTTATTAAAAAAATTATAATAATATTAGTGCTTTAACTAAATAATTTGTAAATCTAAAAATTATGATAGTTCTGCTGATAAAATCTTAAAACCAATTAATAACCAATTAATAAAATAATAACTATTTTTATTCTTTATATGGAGTTAGTAAAAAAATCATGCAAAAAAAACCTGATTTCACGGTAATATTAAAATTTTTTAAATGGAAATAAAAATAAAACAAAGTAAATAAAATAAAGAAAAGCAGTATTCTTTGTTTAACTACAATTTTTTTTACAAGTCTCTAATTAAACTAGAATCTTGTTTTTTAATGGAGGAAAACCCTAACATGTGAAATATGTAAATGGTTTAAAAAACTCTGCATACATATAGTTCTGCATATAAATATAACTCTGCATACATATTCATAAGTATACTTATTATTAAAACCAGATATTTTACAACAAAAAATATTAGGCAGATATATGAAATTAATAATAACTTCTTAACCAGATATATAATGATAAAATAAAAAATGCTTTTTTGTTAATATTTCAATAAATAAATTGTTTTAGCATTATAGGTATAGTTCATTAATTACTCGATATTTTATGACAAAAAAATATCTTTAAATTGTATTTCCAGAAAACTATTTGGATACTCAGAAAAAAAAAAATTTATAAAAGTCTAAAAATCTATCTAAAAATCTGGAAATATCCAGAGAAAGATAATTCCTGAATTTAGATAAAACCAAACTGATTTTATAAGTTTGCCTTTTATATTTTCTCATTTGGTTTGTCCCCCATCCCCTCAGATTGTAGGATCAAGGGTGCATACTTTCCTCTACGCAATACTTGCAAACATATGGCATTCTTCCTTATACAGATTTGCGTTTAAACAAATGTCTCTTAAAAGTGTCTACCTGGGATTAATGTTATAAAACTGTCTACCGGTGTAAAATGCTATTGGCGGAAATTTTACTCTAAGAATTTTTTTTCAAGAGTAACTAATTCATGGAATAGCTTGACAAATGAAATCGTTGACCTTGACGCTTATAAAACACTATAATTATTCAAAAACATCTGTTCTCCGTTGTTTCAGCTCCGACTTATTATTATTACATAAAAGGTAGTCAATAAAAAAAGTGCTTTTAAATTAAAGATTCAGAATTATTCTGAACCAGAGCACAAAGAGGCAGATTATGTCAAAAATGGAAAAAAATACCAAACTTAAGATTAAATTACATAAACTTGAGTTGAATAGATATTTAGCATAAGGATTAAGTAATACAAATATGGAATTTAATTTTTTTTTTTTACATGCATTAAGCACCCCTACAATGCGCATGTACATGTTTCAACGCAATTTAGAGAACTTACAACTTTAACCGCTATTTAAATTTAAAAATTTATGTTTCATAAACCAAAATATATGATTATCAAATAAACACACATGTAATTCTGTGCATCAAATGTACACGCTAGCTTAAATAAAAGTTAAATATTAAATGATTTTTACATTTTAAGATACTAACAAGTTCAATACATCTAATGACAATGATTTTCCTTGATATTTCTTAAGCTTTCATAGGATAGGATTGATACATGAGGATCTAATCTCATTAAAATATAGTGGATCTGACCTTTTGTGGCGATGAGCTGTGATATTTTTGCTGTGTGGTACAAATCTTGCATTTTTGAGCAGCTTATTGAGGCTTCCTTAGTTTTAAGCATTAGGCAAATTGCTTAAAATTTTTTTTTTTGGGAATACATATCTCTAATAACCTATTTAGTTCATCTAATTTATCATCAGGAATTAAATAAGAAGTTTTAGTTAATTTAATAAAGATTTTGCCAAAGGGTAAACAGATTCTATCTGTTGACCAGCCTCGCACCCCTTCGTCATCTATTAGGCTGGCGCAGATGTATTTTTAATACATTGTTTCCAGTTTAGGATGTTGAACGCTGGATCTTCTTGACTTGATTCATGGGTTTTGCTTGTGTCTCTGTTTTTATGACTAGGCAACTCATTCTATTATCTCCAAATGAGGATACAGCTCTAAAACACAGTTTTATGGTTCTGAGGCCGGCTGGTAGTCAGGTTTCCCAAACTCTGTGGTAGCTCTCAGAGAGGCTGATTCCATCAACAGCTGAAAAATATCAGAGTACTAACAGTGCCATGTTGCGCATGGATGGTGTCCCTGTTTGTACTTTTGGTGTGCATTGCCAAGGCAACATTGGAGCCCTTTGTTACGGCTTAGGGTTTATTAGTGGAAATGAGGCAATTGCTTGAGCTATAGAACAGTGTACTGAGTACTATCAATGTTTCGAGTCAAGTTCTTTAACAAATTTAAAAATGAATAAAGTAACAAAAACTATAAAACACAAAAAACCACAGTCATCACCAAGTTTGCTAAACCTATCATTCACCAATATTCGTGGTCTTCGAAGTAACTTTTCTTCTGTTGAGTCTTATCTCTTGCAAAGTTCACCAGACCTGCTTGCTCTTTGTGAGACTAATTTGAGTTCAGCTGTCTCATCTTGTGATCTTAGTGTTGATGGTTATCTTCCTTTAATTCGTAAAGACTCCAATAGTCACATGCTTGGCCTGGGCATTTACATTCGTAAGAATTCACCTATTTGTCGGGAAACTAGGTTTGAATCCACAGACTACTCTTTTATGTGCTTTCGTTTAGCACCACTTCACTCTATCACCTTTCTCTTAGTTCTATATCGCTCTCCCTCATCCCAAACTGCACTCATCTTGGTGTTATTTCTGATTATATTGACCAAGCCCTCATTCTTTATCCATTAGCCAATATTGTTGTTGTTGGTGACTTTAATGTTCATCACACTGAATGGCTTGGCTCTAGTGTCAGTGACTCTGCAGGCATTAAGGCCCACAACTTTTGTCTTTCTCAATCCCTAACTCAAATAGTCAACTTTCCAACTTGCTTTCCAGACAACCCGAATCATTTACTTTTTCTACTCGACTTATGTCTTGTTTCTGATCCTAGTCAGTGTTCAGTTTCTTCACACTCACCCTTAGGTGCGTCTGATCATGGTTTGGTCTCTCTAAAACTATTATCTCATTCTTCTTTACCATTAGAATCCCCCTATCATCGTACATCTTACAACTACCTTAAAGCTGACTAGGACTCTTTTCGTGACTTTCTTCGTGATGGCCCCTGGGTAGAAATCTTTCGTCTCCCTGTTGACAAATGTGCTTCTTACATAACTTCGTGGAATCAGGCTAGCATGGAATCCTTTATTCCCTCTCGAAGATTCCAGGTCAAGCCTCACTCTTCTCCATGGTTTTCCTCACATTGTGCTGCTGCAATTGCCAATCGAAACCATTACTTCCATATCTATTAGCAAAACAATTCTCCAGAAAACAGACATCTCTTTATTACTGCTAGGAACCATTGTAAAAAGGTTTTGTCTAACGCCAAAACCCGCTATTCTCAGATCATGAAATCTTGTATTTCATCACAAACATTAGGCTCTCGTGACTTCTGAAGAATCTTTAATAGTATCAATAATAAGGGCAAGTCTGTAATTCCACCTCTTTTGTACGGTTCAGACTTTGTCACCTCACCTAAAGACAAAGCTGAATTGTTTGCCAAGAACTTTTCATCAATATCATCTCTTGATGCCACTAGTTGCATTTTACCTGATATACCCGTCAAACAGGTTGATCCATTGCTCGACATTCGTATCACTCCAGCTTGTATCTAAAGTGATTTCCCTCTTAGACTCTTCAACAGCTTGCGGCCCGGACAACATACCTGTTATATTCTTGCAGAAGCGTTCTCCTACGCTGTCGTCTATCTTTTCAAAACTATCCAAAAAGTGCTTATTAGAGTCTTGTTTTCCAGCCTGCTGGAAAGCAGCATCTGTTATCCCTATTTTTAAAAATTCTGGAGAGCGATCTGACTCATCTAACTACCGTCCCATTAGTCTTCTTCCTATCATAAGCAAGGTTTTTGAATCTTTAATTAACAAACACTTAATCTATTATCTCATAACCTACTTTCTGATCATCAGTATGGATTTCGATCTTCTCGTTCTACGGCTGATTTGCTATCAGTAATAACCGATAGGTTTTATCGCGCATTAGATAAAGGTGGAGAGGTTAAGGCCATTGCTCTTGACATTTCTAAAGCGTTAGATAAAGTTTGGCATGCTGGTCTCCTCCATAAGCTTTCTTCTTATGGTGTATCTGGAAACATCTTTAAGATTATCGAATCCTTCCTTTCCAATCGTAGTATAAAAGTTGTCCTTGATGGACAGCACTCTTCTTCTTATTCTGTAACCTCAGGGGTTCCCCAAGGTTCAATCCTTGGCCCTATACTCTTTTTAATTTACATTAACGATCTTCCAGATATTCTCACATCTAAGGTGGGATTGTTCCCTGATGATACTACCATTTATTCTTGTCACGATAAGAAGCCAACTCCCTCTGATTGCTTGCAGGGGGCATCTGAGCTCGAAAAGGATCTCACTTCTGCTACAGCATGGGGCTCGCAGTGGCTGGTGAACTTTAATTCAGATGAAACTCAATTTTTTTCAGCCAATCATTATCGCAATAACTTAGACCTTTCTATATTTATGAACAGTAATGTACTCGATGAGTCTCCTACCCTTCATCTTCTAGGATTAACTCTTACTTCTGATCTTTCTTGGAAACCTTATATCAAATCCGTTGCAAAATTAGCATCTGCTAAAGTTGCATCTCTTTATCGAGCTCGTCACTTTCTTACTCTGGATTCTATTCTCTATCTCTATAAATCTCAAATCCGGCCTTGTATGGAATACTGTTGCCATATCTGGGGCAGATCTTCTAATGATGCCCTTTCTCTTTTAGACAAGGTGCAAAAACGCATTGTAAACATAGTTGGACCTGCTCTTGCAGCCAACCTTCAACCTGTCACATCGTCATAATGTTGCTTCTCTTTCTCTTTTTTACAAATACTATAATGGGCACTGCTCTAAAGAGCTAGCATCTCTTGTGCCATCTACTAAAATTCATTCTTGTTACTCATCATTCAATTAAGTCTCATCCTTTTTCTGTTACTGTTCCTAAGTGCTTCAAAAACTCTTATTCGTCTAGTTTTTTTCCTCGAACATCAGTTCTTTGGAATTCGCTTCCTTCATCTTGCTTTCCTGATTCATATAATTTGCAATATTTTAAGTCGTCTGTCAATCGTTATCTTGCTCTACAATCTTCATCTTTTCTCTTCCAGTAACTTCCAACACTAATTAGTGGTTGCTTGCAACTTTGTTGGAAGCAAAGATAATTAAATAAAAAATAATAGAAAAAAAAAAAAAAAAAAAAGTCTTTTGTTTTTACTTTTTAAACGCACGTATTTAAAAAAAAAAAAAAAAAAAAAAAAAAAAGACAGACTATATATTTAACAAAACTATGCAATACTTAATTGTAAATCATAAAAAAGAAATTGTTTTTTAAATACAAAATAAAAAATTTTTATTTACAAGACAGGCTTGGACAGGAATGGCACGCGATCGAGCGCAATTGCTGACCACACAAATGATTATATTTTTTGACAACTTGACCACGATTGTTTAATAAACAATGTTTATATGTTTTGATGAGTTAAAAATTTCAGAAATGTTCTGAATGCAGTAACGCTAAGCTAAACTTAAACTAGGAAAAAAAATTAAAAAAAAATCCTAACAAAAAAAGAAAAACGAAAAAGAAATAATAAGCACTAAAATGAAAATAAAAACTTGAACTCGAAGTAAAACTTTTTGTTATGTTTTTAATTACAAATTACTACTAATGATTGGTTTAATAAAAGAAATTTTATTAAATTTTATTAAATTTATTAAAAAGTGTTTTATATTTTTAAATTGTATAAACATTAATTTTGTCAAAAAAGTTGCAAAAAAAAAAAAAAAATTGTTAAAAAAAATAACAATCTTTTTAAAACAGTAATTTTTACTAATTTCATGCTCTAATTAGTGAGTCTAATTAAAAAAAGGTTTTGAACTTTTTTTATTCGTAAAAATAGAAAAAAAATAAAAAAATAAAATGCGCCTGCGATTAGAATAAATAAAACTACCAACAACCTTATTAATTTAATTTTAATTTGAGCATTACAACTTAGTGAGTGCTTCGCGTACCGAATTAAAGTTATTATAATAGATTTAATCTCATTCATTTCTAACGAACTTAAAAAAAAAAAAAAAAAAAAAAAATGTTTACAAAAAATAAAATGTTCATTTTAAACATTTTAAAAAATCGTAAGTTTAGTCATAAAAATTAATCGTATGAACATTACAAAATGCCTAAAAACTTTTTCATTAAGTCAACAAAATACATGCTTATATAAGTAAATAAAGTCATTTTATATTCTTGTGTAATTCACATAAAATGTGTAAAAGTTAGTAGTCACAAAAGCTTCTGAACTTATTCACAAATTAAAGTAACTTAAAAAAATTCTTTCTAAAAATAATGGTTTAAAAATGTTTTAGGAAGACATTTAGTTTCAAACGTTTACATTTATCATTAAAAATAAATGCCTACATAAAAAAACTTATTTATTAATTTTACGTTTTTTATTAATTTACACAAGCGTTTATGTAAACTATAACTATAACTAATTTTATGGTTTTATCTAAAGCCTTAGCATAAAATAAAAAACTTTCGAAAAGATCAACAATAAAAGATATTTATAGCATAACACTTTTTTTATTGCATTCAAATTGTTAAAACATCAAAATAGCCATGGTCAAAGAAATAAAAACATTAGCGTGGTCAGTTAGAGTGCGATCGCACACAATTCCTGCCCAAGCCTGCTAAGGACAAAGTAGTTTAACATAATCATTATTAGAGACTTAAAAATTGATAACAAATAAGGTTAAATTAATAGTAAAAATGCCACACATTTAAAAATTTATGTTTATAATTTTTTATTTTGATTTTTTTTACTAAAAAATAGTCTACTTAAACATTTTAAGTCTAAAATTGATAAAACTTAAACATTATTTGGATGACTTTTTGCCAATTTTTACTTAATCTGCCTCATTGCAGACTTCTACAACTAAATATTCATATCTTTAGATCTTTAACCAAAATTTCTGCAAATCCCTCCTCTAGAATATTTTTCACAAGTAAACATTTTGGCAATAGAAAGTTTATTATTGGTAATTTTCAAAAATATTTTAAACATTGACAATACTAATTTATGTTTAATGTAAACACCTGAACTACAATTTTGAACCCATCTGTTATGGTACCACTTGCACCATTGATAATATTTGTAGCTTCATCTTTGTTTTCAACAAACTATAATGGAAGGTAAACACAAACAATTACAAAATTCAATAGAAGGAAAACATAAAATAATATAAACAACTATAAAATATAATAACAACAATTAAAGTTATAATATAATAGAAATATAATAAGAATAACAATAACATTTATAATAATAACAGTTTGAGTATTATTAACATTAAGAATTAGAAAAAGAATGATAATATAAAGAACAATATTACTTTAAGAAACAAATTAGGCAAGAACAAATATTAGTGGTGATAAAACAGCAGTTAAATAAAAAAAAGCAATAGAGTATACAAAGTAAACAGTAGTATACAAAGCTAGTATGCAAAGATAAATTTAAAAAGTTAGAAGTAGAGGAGCATAGCAGTTAAGAATACTTATCTAATAAATAATTAATACTGCTTTTGAACATAGAAAATGAAAGAAGAAATTCAACTGTAAGAGGAGAACATTTCATGCACATATGCTCTGATATTTAATAAAGTTTTCACTTTTTGATTGCTTAAAACAAGCAGACGAAGACTAAAAGCGCATTCTAAATGTAATTGCACTCTCCTATTGTTGTAAGATTGCATTTCTTTCTTTTTCTAAAAATACTATCATGGTCAATGCTCAAAAGTATAAGGCGTTTTTTAAAAAAATCATTAGTATTTCCGGCATAAAAACTTAAAAGACCCCTCTTTTAAATGTCTTTTTAAACTCTAAGGTAATACGGTTTAATTTGAGATGTGGGTAACATTCACAGGTATTAAATGCTTTTACAAGTCGCCTTGTTTAAATTATTTAAACAGACGTTGTAGCCAGATGTTAAACAAATTTTATCTAAATAATAAAAATAACTATACAATACAGAGTATTAGATTAAAAGCCATAAATTAAACTAATTTCTAGTTTTTTTTGGAGGCTATAAATTAAACTAATTTCTTGTTTATATTGTTGCTGAAAAACTTTAGTCCAAAGAAAAGTAAAACCATTCTAAAATATCATTTTACATGTGTTTTTATGTTTCTAAATACTAAGCATTAAAAATTTTTGAAGCATTTTCATTTTTAAACGCATATTTCAGTTTTGGGTTAACATTGACAGGAATGCAAGTCACCATATCGGCTAAAAACCAAGCAAAAGTTGGCATGTCTTACATCTGATGAATCTTTTACAATTACATGAAATGGAATCAAACAAAGCAAGCCTTAAATTAAAAGAGTAATTCTAAAAAAAAAGTACCAATTACATGTCAACAGATCTAAAAACCAACACTTGCAACAAGTTAAAATCCACACCTAATTGTTTTCTCTTTTTATTTGTCAAAATTCCAATTGAGTTAGCCCTCGTTATGTAACTTTAACATTTACAGTATAACATATTTCTGTTAATGTTACCCCTTTTAGGTGTAACATTGACACTTGAACCCCAAAAACAAAATTAATTATTGATAAATAATATTAGATAACTAATTAAATTCTTTATCAGTTAATCACAGCGAAAAAGATTTTTCTAAAAATATGATTATGTTATTTTTTTGTTAATCATATAAAAATGTTGAAAAACTCTTGTGGAATGGCTGAGTAGCAGAACCAATTAAACCAAGAGATTAGAGAACACTAGCCCATTAGTGTCGTCGAAATTATTAGATATAGAGGACTTTTTTTAGAAATTAACTATTGCGCCCCTCCACTTCGAAACCCGTGACGTCTGCTTTGAGTAGGAAAGTAAAATATCCTATTAGCTGAATATTAATTTTGGGATAATGATAAAATTATACAGCAATTACATTTATAGTAAGAAATAAATTATTTACTAGAAATAATAATAAACTAATTTTACCGCAAAGGCATAGTTTTTTACAACATCAGTTCGTTTAACTTTACCATACTTTGACAAAATTTCCGTAACTTTTTCGTTCGACCATGACGGATCTATTCCTCCTATATACAACTTTATAGTTTTGTCGTCAATGCCATTTTCCTGAGGCATATTGTTAAATTAACTTACTTGGAAGGCAAATGCAAATTACTGTTTAAAGTAAGTGTGGACGGAAACAGCTTTCTTTACTTCTGTGATACTTGTAATCTGGTAGCGAACTTGTAAAAGATGTCAAGCATGCGTATTTGCAATTGTTTTTATCTGAGAAGATGGCTGCCGGCCCCCTGCGCGGTACCTTCAACATGAACTTTCGATATACGATTATATTTTTAACGGCCATGCATTTATTGAATTATAAGTCTTATTCAACAGCAAATTTCCGACTTGCTATTTCGCTGTGTTTCCACGAAAACCTTATATCGTGTTGCAATGGACCATAAAAAGGTTTCTTGTTTTATATTTAACGATTTTCGAAAAAATTAAACAACTAAATTTTTACTTTTATAACCACAATATAATTGTTGGTGTTAAGTTTGAGATGATATGATTAAGATTATTCATCTATAATATAAAGCAAATGTTTGAATATAAATTAGTAGTTAAATAATAATTTAAAATTAAATATAGTTTGATAGTATATAGATAAGTAGACTGTAAGATGTTTTTTAAATATTGATTGTTATTGATAAGTTTGCAGCACTTGAATAATATTTTATTAAACAATTAGTTATTTTGAATATTGTGTACTATTTAATGGAGAATAATAGCTATTTGTAGCTCTTGAATAATATTTTACTAAACAATTAGTTATTTTGAATTTTGTATACTATTTAATGGAGAATATTATAAGAATATTAAAATATACTGGGTAATGCAGAATATTAAGTTATTAGTGTTTAATTAAATGACATGATTTTAAAATTCTTAGTAAACTTTGAGTCTTTATTATATCATTTTGAATAAATATATATCTGCATTTTTCTTACTCGGTGTTATTAAGGCGGTTTACAAAATATTCGAATACTTTTATTTGGAATTAGCATGATTTTGTCAGCATATTATGTCCGAACAAGATCTATAAATGCTATAATTTTTTTTGCTTAAGTTTTTTATAATATTTAAAGAAACTTTTCTTTTTTTATATATTATTTTCGAAACTTTTTTACTACCCGTAATAGTGTACCTAAAGAACACTATTTTGGAGTCTTTAGATCAATTCCGCTCATTGGCATTAATATAAATTTAGTTAAAATCTTTTGAAAAAGTTTTTTAATTTACTACTGATCCTAGTTCTAATCGGATCTGACGTATATTAACTATATATAGTTGTCAAAACACAATATTTCTATCAATTTTCACAAAAAATACTGGAATTCCGACCAAGAAAGAGCTTATAATTATGGAAAATTGCCAATAAACAATCAGAACAGATCATATTATTAAACTATAATGTTCATTTCACCAAAAAAACTTGTTAATATAAAATCTTATTTAAATTTGGACAAGCAATTGTGATTTTAAGATGATTTAAAAAAAAAAAAAAGAATCATCGGTCTGGATTTTTTCGCTACAAACATTTATATTTTATGATACTGCAAAGTTTATCATTTTACGTTTTTTCGTCTTTTCATAATTCACAGACCAGACCATTTAACGGTGTTTTTATGATGTTTCTAAATACTATCATTTATATACTCAGAGACAGAACTGGCTTTATCATATCCTTAAGCCCTACACTTTTTTATAACTAGATTCAAGTTGCTTACACAATTAACACAGATTAATTTATTGTATTAAAATAAAATAAGATAATTATTTTTGAAGAAAAAGTAAAGTGACTTACCTCAGAGCAATACAATGCTTTTTATTGTTTTTTTAAGTAAGACGGGATACAAACTTCTGCACATATATTTCTTCTTATTGCGCCATCGATAAAACGACTTAAAAGATCTTTATTAGTAACCATTTTGTTATTGTTATTAATAAAATTATCCAATAAAGTTTCATAAAACATATTTACAAGATCATCAATTTACAAAATCCTCAAACATCATCGTCGGTTTTCATTTTTTTAGAACATCTTCAATTAAAATATAGGCTATGCTTAGACATTAAAATTCAAAAACTCTATATCGCAATTTAAAAGAAATACTTTGTTGTATATTTGTAACCAATGAAAAACCTGCTGCAAATGCTGCAAAGTATAGTTTATACAACGATATTTTAAAAAGTTTTATTTTTAAACAAATCAGATTGCTACTTTTAATAGCGTAAACCAATTACCTTATCTGATTTTCTCATATCCTGCAAAGTATAATTTACATTAGCAAGTTTTAATTAAATAATTTTCTCATATCCTGCAAAGTATAGTTTACATTAGCTATTTTATAAAACAATTTTTGCGATCTCTGCAAAGCATATTTTTCACTATGAACTTTTTCCTAATTGTATTTTCTAACAAAATATAACAAAAATATAAAGATTGGCAATTTGTGTACCAATATTTATTTATATTTTTTTTACCCCGTCACTTGCAGCACTTGACAGGGTTTAAATCTGCCTCTGATTGCAAATCAGCTTGACAATTTTAAGCCTTATACTCCTTCAACAATAAACTATACATTTTTAACACTATTCCTGACATAATAGGCAAAACAAGTGGCACTATTAATAGCGATAGTATCTAAAGTTATTATGGGAAAAATAACCAAAGAAATTGAATTATGAAACTTACCTCTTAAGTTTTCACCATGTCTATCTTCACACAAGTTCTTATTGTAAGCAACTTCCAGAGATTGCGTTGACCTCCTTGAAGTGTTACAATTAGCAGGCATAATTGGTCAACTTGAGCACTTAGCACCTGGTTCCTATTTAAAATACAAAAATTTAAAAAAATGCTTTGTTTTTTTGAACCTTCAAAAATTTTTTGTAAACTAATTTTTGGCTTGTTAACTTTATGCATATTTTATTAAACTCATAAATACTAGGTAAATTAAAATCAAGTAGCAAAATAAACCTCAAAAATTTCCCTCTCAGTAGATTATATAGTTATAAACAAATAAAATTGACATCTTATTAACAATATAATACAAACAAATAAAATAATATTTATTGACAAATATATGCACTAGATAAAGGAGGATTTAGTAACTTAGCTGTAATTAGTCTGATTAGCTAAGAAAAAAATTCTGTGTAACTGTAATACTTTTTAATACAAATTTTAAAGTATAAGATTACCACGTGATTTTATACTTTAACATTTGACTTGCCAAACCAGGTATTTTGATAAAACTCTTCTGATAATCTCAGATTTTGTTGCTAAACATGCCATGTTATTTGGAGATAAAAAAATATTTTTTTAAAATAAACCTATTATTTTAAAGTTTTAAAATTTTTAAAATTTTTTTAAATTTTAAAATTTTTATACTTTTTATGCAGAAATGCTTCTTTTTTTTGATAAACTTTTATTTTAAGTAAAACAGCAGTGATAGATTAGCACAATGCAAAACAAAAAATATTGAAAATGAAGAAGTTGATTCAAAAACCTCATTAAACCTCAAAAACCTATTCTAATAATAATCTTCTGGAAATACAAGTTAAAACTATTTTTTTCGTAATTTTGTCATCAAGTAGTTATAAAGTAAAGGTATCGTTCATCAATTACTCTATGCTATACAGGCCTTGTTTTAAATAAAAAATGGCTCATTAGCTCCTCTTGATTTTGACGTCATAAAATTATCTTTATTTTCTTTTTTATTTATGGACCTTAACTTTTTTAACTACCACAATAAATAAATTACAGCAAAAAAAGTTTGTTTTAGTAATTAAGAAAAACAAATCTATTGTTCTAATTATAATTAAGAAAAACAAATCTGTTGTTTTCTAAATGTACATAATGTAGAATGTTTACTTTGTTAATTTTGTTTTTGTTTTTAGTAATAAATAATTAATTTTAATATTACATTTTTTATTATCATTTATATAAAATGATTTCTTTTCTCAACATTTGTATAAATGAATTAAAATATATTAATTTTTTTTTTCATTATTTCTTAAAATTGCAACTTTGCAAATAATGATTTTTTACTAACAAACAAAAAATATTACTTGTTGCAAAGAGAAAAAAACTTGAGTTAATTACTTTATCAGCGCTTATTCTATAAAACTTTATTATTGATACTTTCATAAAAAATTATTTTCTGATATTTGCTAATATATTTTTGCTAATATAAATTTTTGCTAAAATAAATTTTTTTGCTAATATAATATTGCTAATATAATATTGCTAATTTGCTAATATAATATAAACTTTTTTGCTAATATAAATTTTTGCTAATATAAATTTTTTTTTAAATTATTTTCAGATATTTGCTAATATAAAAATCATTAGTAAAGATAAAAGTTTCAATATTATTTCAATTGTATAAATGTATCATATAAAGCCTTTATTAATCATCATATTTTAAAAATATAAATAGCAGTAATTATTAGCTTTTGGAAGCGAAACTTTTTTGGCTCACCAATTCTGGGCAAATAGAATTAATTAAAACTTGTTGCAATATGCTAATTTAGAATTAACCTTAATAAAATAATGTTGATAACTTATTTTAAAGTATATTAATATGCAAAGAACTTTCCTAACTTATCATAAACAGTAAAAATGTGAATAAAGAGTTTTTGAATAATAAGAATCAATAATAAAAAATAATTTATTTAACATATTGAAAAATATAATCTTGACGTTAATTAAATAAAAACTGATGTCGCTTAAAAATAAATTTATTTTAACTTTTGAATGTATGATCTTGCTTGATAATGACACATTAAAAAAAAAATCGATCAACTTAGTTCATTTCTTCGTCGTGCATAATACTTACATTTTGTATGTTTTTTTGTTGTTGTTTTTTTCCACTAAGATCTTTTGAACCTTTAAGAATTTTAAACCAATTAGGAATTCCGTGTTTTTTATGGTGCCATTAGGCTGGCTAACACTCTTAGTCCCTAATTGTACCAATGTTGCAATGCAAATTAACTAACAATTTAACAGTAGTCATATTATGTGTTTCAATAATGTAATTATGTATATGTACTTATTTTTTTTTTTATTTTTTTTTTTTTTTTGATTATTAAAGCAGAAAACAAAGGGCATTGGTCTCAATTTGCTATTTAAATATTTATTTTTTCACTTCTTTATCATAAAGACAATTGCAACGTAATGTTGATATGATTTTAGTATATACTTTTAAGAGTTACTTTATTAAAATTACAAGAAAGTTTATTTATTATTTTACAGATGTTATTATAAAAGCTATTTGTATTTTAGAATGACTTCAATAATATGACCATTATTCATCCAGCAATTATTTCAAATGAAAGTTTTGAAGATGCGTATTTACCAGTTAACTTAAAATTCTTAGAAAGAACATTAAACATAGACGCGCTGATAAACTATGCAGAAAAATTATTTAAAGAAAAATTATCAGAGTATAACTAATTGTTAAATATTAAAACATATTGTTAATAGTTTTTCTTTTGTTACTATGTTACTTTTGTTTCTTTTGTTACTATGTTGCATAAAAAAACTTGTTATAATACAAATGAAAAAAAAATATTAGTTAATATAAAAATGTGTCATAAAAGAATGTTGTTAAATATAGGTTTGAGAGCACTTCAAGTAGTGATGAAGAGAGTGATATAATAAACGCAACTTGGAAAAAAAAACTGGGCAAGTTGTCATTCACTAAAGAAGGTTATATTTGTTTATTACTTGTTATTTGTTTAATAATAAAAAATGTTTCTTGTAATTAAATACTATAAAATTGTTTAATAGGATCCTAAGCAGTCTTCTCCGTTTGAAATTTAATGCCAGAGCACAAAAAGCGCTGGCAGGATGGTCATTTTTAAGTTAGCCTGTGCAATAAAAAAAAAAAAAATTTTTTTCTGCTTTTTAAATGAAAATGAAAATAGCGAACAGATTGTTTTGAATAAATACTAGATAAAATAGTTTTAAAAAAAAACTGTCAAAAAAAGCCATTTTTCATATAAGTTGCACAAGTGAACAAAAAAGCTTTGTTGTAATTTAAAAAAAAAAACACTTAGTTATTTGGCAAGCGCTTTTTTATGCGCTAGCCAAAGTTTTTGCCAGCGTGTGGGAGAGCACAAAAAGACTTGACAGTGAAAGCACTGGCTAAACAGAGAAGATTAGATCCTAAATGTAATAAATATATTCTTTAATTTAAAATAATATTATTTTCTAACATTTAATGGATTTCATTTATACCATGCTATAATCAAATGCTAGCAACAAATAGTTACAGAAATAACTTGAAGTCAACACCATTTTAAATTTCATTTTTTCAGAAAATAAAATACATTCAAACTCATTATAATTTAGTATTTCCAATGTCTACTATGATATTTTTTAATTCTTTTAAATAGTAAAGTTGAATGGTTAGTAAAATTTTAGTTAGTCTCGAAATGAAATTATTACTAAAAAAATGTTGCAAGAATTCTAATTAGCCAAATCATCTAAATTACTAAAGTGAATTTCTTACGGACTTATCAATGATAACCATTGAAGAGCATTTAACTAAAAAGTCCATTCCTCCTTTCTCACCCATACCACAGATGTGACCAGAGCTGCCATCAACCCTTGGACCTTTTGGTTTTAAGACAAGCAATCTAACTGCTGCATTAGCTGCTTTTTTGATGCTTTTTAAGCAATGTCGCTTGCTCATTTGGTGTGGCAGAGTATTGTCGCAAAATTTCAATTGCCACAAATTTAATTGTTGAAAATGTGAAAAAGTATCACAAATTGTTGCATTATTGATTGTCAAATAACAAAATAAGGAATGTCGCAAATGAGTTGTTGTTTTTTTTTTAAAAAAAAATGGTTTGCTATGAGGATCAGCAAAACGAATAAGCAATTGTTGATCTATATTTGCTATAGTAAATATATATATTCTCATATATTTGTATATTAATTATTTGTGACACTATTCCACTTTTACCATTTGCAACACTATTCTGTTTTTACTATTTGCAACAATTCCTTTTACTATTGGTGATACTATTCCTTTTTTTGTTTTGTTTTCGACACTATTCAATAATTCATTTGCAGCACTATTCTTTTTTGTTTTTGTTTTCAACACTTCATTAAATTCATTTGCGACACTATTTCTTTTTTTTTTTGCAACATCAATCTTTTTTAATAAATTCAACACTATTCCAAAGTTTGTTTTTCGACACTATTCTTGTCACCCGCTCGTTTGAGTAAGGACAATTTCCATCAGCAAAGTTTCAAGTTCTTTTATGTGTAATCTGAAATGTTTGACAATATTCAAATAGCAATTGTCTTATCCAATGTCTTTTAGCTGTGTTTTGGTATGTCTCAGGTTTTTTACTTGATAAGACTAGATATATAGAATTATGGTTTGCCCTATAAAATTATTAAATTAAACAAAACAATATTGAAATCTCAACTGAAATCTACTGTGATAAAGCAACAAATAGCAGTTGGATCAATTAGTTCATAGTTCAATCAATCAGTTCTTAGCTCTTAGATCATCAAAGTCGTCTACTTTTTTTTTTTACTTTTTAAAATCTTACGTATTTTTATTTACGTATATTACATATTTTATTAATCTTACGTTTTGAAATAAATAAATTTTTGCCACAACATATTTTTTGTTGATAAAAGGTAAGCTTAATTTTGAATGCAAATTCTGCTAGTATGTTAAGTTTTATAAAATTTTAGTTCAAATAACATACATAACACTTTTTAAAAAAATATATTTTAAGTAGAATATAAAAAGAATTTTATTACAATATGTAAGTAAAGAACACTTTTGTTAATTATAATTTACAGAATGGCACAATGAAAAAAAAAAGTTTTACAATATAAAATCACTTGGAAAGGAAAGAGAGTGGCTGCGGGTATGATCAGCTTTTAGTTTGCATCTTTAATTTTTAAAAATTTCCTACATTTACTACTGTTTTTTAGTTTCATAGTTCATGTGTGTGTTATTCAATATGTTTTTACAATTTATTGTTTTAAAAACTTAGGGTCATTAACACGTTCACGCCGGCATGTACCACCGGTGGTACACACTAGACTGTCTCATTGGGCGGCGTGTACCACTGGTGGTACACACTAGACTGTCTCATTAGGCGGCTACCACTGGTGGTACACACTAGACTGTCTCATTGGGCAGCGTGTACCACCGGTGGTACACGCTGCCCAATGAGACAGTCTAGTGTGTACCACCAGTGGTACACGCCGCCTAATGAGACAGTCTAGTGTGTATAACCAGTGGTACACGCCGGCGTGAACGTGTTAAACATTGTTTGAAATAAAAAAAACTTTTAATTTTTAAATTAGTTTATATTAGAGATTACTACAATCTTTTTCTAATCCTATGAGTTCAAAATAAGAAATTCTTATTTACTAGGAAGTACTTCTTAATGAGAGTTCAGATGAAGATGACAGTAATGACACTATTAGTGAATTTGAATTAAAACAAATGTTAAAACTTCATGTTAAAGCAAATAAAGTTAAAAAAAAAATGTCTCCTGATATTCATAATAAATATTCATTTTATGGATCTAGTCTTGTTATTGAGCATGACCAATACATAGATCGCTTTAAAAAAAATGTGAAAACAATAAAAAAATCAAAGTTAGCCAATAAAAAGTTGTTTAACAAAAATAGAAAGAAGGTTTCTGATATCAAACTTTTAAAGCAAAAAGTTCATCATGATAAAGAGATTGCGTATAAAAGAAAGAAACTTTGGAATTTAATAGCAAAAAAGGAAATACCAAAGGTATTTGTTAATTACTATAGAATAAAACTTTTTTTTTTTCTTTTAATTGTTTTTTATTTGTCTTTTACACATTACTTAACATTGTAATTTTGTCAAATTTTGTTTTAATTCTATTTTTGTCTGCGACATTTTTTGTGACTGCTTTTTAACCTTGTTATTTAAATATTATAATAAACTCCTCAAAACTAATAAAATTTAAATTTGAAGTAATATCATTTTACAGGTTAACATAGGTCTCAAAATAACGGCAGAAAATTGTGGATCTTTTTCCTTTTTTTTATGATAACCCCTTAGTGTCAAATTTTTTTTGACACTACTTTTGACCTGATGCCGACCTCTACCAGTTTAAGGTTGGCAATTTATTGCCAACCTCATATTTTCTAATTCCGAGGGTTGGTATATATATAATATAAATAATATGTATATATATATAAATATATATATAAATATATATATACTCTTGCATGTCTCTTGCGTGGCATCAAAAAAAGTTTCCCATAAACTGTAGTTTTAAAGAGTGCGTTAATAAACCAGACCAGAAAAAGTTTTAAAAATTTAAAAATTAAATTTTTTTTTTTAATTGATAGACTGCCTGGCCAAACCAGACCCTCAGTCGATGTAGCAGCACTCTCTTGCGAGTCAGGCTATTTGTCAGTCGATGTAGCAGCACTCCCTTGCGAGTCAGGCTATTTGTCAGTCGATGTAGCAGCATTCCCTTGCGAGTCAGGCTATTTGTCAGTCGATGTAGCAGCACTCCGTTGCGAGTCAGGCTATTTGTCAGTCGATGTAGCAGCACTCCGTTGCGAGTCAGGCTAAAAGATAGTCGATGTAGCAACATTTACGCATGTTTTAAAAATGTTTTTTATTAAATCAATAACAAAAACACCACTTATTAAAAAAAACTTTCTAGTCGTTATAATTGCGGTTTTTTAAAAAATTTTTAAAAAACAATTAAATTTAATGTACTTCCGCATAAATTAATTGCTTTGACATTTCGATGACAATCAAAAACAGCTTAAGAGACGAGGTAATTAAAATTGTAGTCGTAAGAGACTTTTTTTACATTAAAACGCTCTTTCGACTACACTATAAGGGTATATATATACATATATATATATATATATATATATATATATATATATATATATATATATATATATATATATATATATATATATATATATATATATATATATATATGTATATGTATAGATATACATATATATATATATATATATATATATATATATATATATGTATATGGGCAATTCTATGGTGGAAAATGAAAAGGTAGTCAAATTTTATTCTTTCCTTTTTTTTTTTTGTTAACTTTTAACAATTTTTGATGTAGAAATATAACAAACTTTTAATAAACATGTAAAAACATTAAAGTTTATTCAAAATATCTTATACTAAAAAAAGTCATTTTAATGATTCCGAAAGTTGAGTTTTTCTCATTGTTGCATGATCAAAAGTGTCATTGTAAAATCTTAATTAATCCAAATTATTTTATAATTAGAAAATAGTGCTAACATGTTTAGTTCAACAATGGTCATATAATTTACTTTTTAAATAAAAAAAAATGTCAAGAAAATAATATAACCTTTGTAATTTTCATTAGTGTTGCGAAGGTAAAATTTACCGGAAAATTTTCCGGTAAATTTACCGCCTGGTAAATTAAAAAATTTTTTTTTTCACTTTTTTTTCACTTTTTTTTTTAATCAATTTTTTAAGGGAAATTTTACCGTTCTCTAATTAAAATTTACTGGTAAATTTATCGGTAAATTTTGAATCAAATTTTACTGGAAAATTTACATCACTAATTTTCATGTAACTTAAGTCAAGGAAAACATAATTAAGTTTTTTTTTTTTTTTAAATCTAATTAAAATAACATATATAATTATATTAAGTTAAAGCTACATAAATTTTCTAAAGTTTTGGCACTTTTTTTAAGTTTTAGTTGTTTTCGAAATGAATACTTACATTTTTCTGTTAAAATTAATGAAAAACAAAACAATAAAATTACTACTGCTAAAATAATAACAGTCAAAACTTATATATTTTAAATTATTGTTTGTTTAAACACCAGGTAATTTAAGGATTATCAATAAAAAAGAGTTATTAAAAAAAAATTATAACTAAAGTTTCAAAAAATTTACGATATAATTTAAAAATCAACCAATACAAAATTACACTAAAGCTATTTGTGCATTGTTTGAAACTTTAAAACAACATTTTTAATTTGAAAATTAAAAATAACATTTGTTTAGAAAACTTAAAGTAATTATTTAAATGTTTTAAATTAGAAATTAATTCAATAATAATAAAAATGATGCATTTCAAAATAAGTTATTTGAGTTTTTGTTTTGTTTTGTTTTGTTTTAAAATAACTATAAAAAGTTTAAATTAGCTTTTATACATTTTTAACCTCCTTTTTTTTTTTTAAACATCTTCGCTTCCAATAAGGCTGCAAGCAACCACGTATTAGAGTTGGAAGTTACTGGAAGAGAATAGATGAAGTTTGACAGGCGACTTAAAAGATTGCGAATTCTATGAATCAGGAAAGCACAATGAAGGAGTTCTAAAGAACTGGTGTTTGAGGAAAAAAACTATATGAATAAGAGATTTTGGAGCACTTTGAAACAATCACAGAAAAAAGATAAGACTTAATTGAATAACGAGTAACACTAGAATCAATTTTAGTAGATGGCACAAGAGACGCTAGTTCTTTAGGGCAGTGCCCATTATAGTATTTGAAGAATAGAAAAAGAGAAGCAACATTACGACGATGTGATAATGGATGAAGGTTAGCTGCAAATGCAGGTCGAACTATGTTGGCAATTCTTGTTTGCACCTTGTAAAAGAGAAAAGGCATCATTAGAAGATCTGCCCCAGATATGGCAACAGTATTCCATACAAGGCTGGATTTGAGATTTATAGAGATAGAGAATAGAATCCGGAGTAAGAAAGTGTCAAGCTCGATAAAAAGATGCAGCGTTAGCAGAAGCTTATTTTGCTATTGATTTGATATACGGTTTCCAAGAAAGATCGGATGTAAGAGTAAATCCTTGAAGTTGAAGGGTAGATGACTCATCGAGTACATTACCATTCATAAATATAGGAAGGTCTAAATTATTGCGATAACGATTGTCTGGAAAAAAATGAGTTTATCTGAATTAAATTTCACCAGCTACTGTGAGTCCCATGCTGTTGCAGAAGTGAAATCCTTTTCAAGCTCAAATGCCCCCTCCAAGCAATCAGAGAGTGTCGGCTTCTTATCACGACAAATGGTAGTGTCATTAGCGAACAATGCCACCTTAGATGTGAGAATATCTGGAAGATTGTTAATGTAAATTAAAAAGAGTATAGGGCCAAGAATTAAACCTTGAGGAACCCCTGAGGTTACAGATTAAGAAGAAGAGTGCTGTCCATCAAGGACAGCTTTTATACTTTGATTGGAAAGGAAGAATTCAATAATGTTAAAGATGTTTCCAGATACACTGTAAGAAGAAAGCTTATGGAGAAGACCAGCATACCAAACTTTATCAAACGCTTTAAAAATGTCAAGAGCAATGGCCTTAACCTCTCCACCTTTATATAATGCAAAATAAAACCTATCGGTTATTACTGTTAGCAAATCAGCCCTAGAATGAGAAGATCAGAAAGTAAGTTATTAGATTCAAGATAAGAGATTAAGTGTTTGTTAATTAAAGACTCAAAAACCTTAGTTATGATAGGAAGAAGACCTTATAGTATATACTATTAAAGATTTTCCAGAAGTCATGAGAACCTAATTTTTGTGTTGAAATACAAGATTTTATGACCTGAGAATAGCAGGCTTTGGTATTAGACGAAACCTCTTACAAAGGTTCCCAGCTGTAATAAACAGATACTGTTTTCTGCAGAATTGTTTTGCTGATAGATATGGAAGTAATAGTTTCGATTGGCAATTACAGCAGCACAATGTGAGGAAAACCATGGAGAAGAGTGAGGCTTGACCTGAAATCTTCGAGAGGGAATAAAGGATTCCATGCCAGCCTGAATCCACAAAGTAATGTAAGAAGCACATTTGTCATTAGGAAGACAAAAAATTTCTACCCAATGGCCATCGCAAAGAAAATCCTTGAAAGAGTCCCAGTCAGTTTTAAGGTAGTTGTAAGATGTACAATGATTGGGGGATTCTGATATTAAAAAAGAATGAGATAATAGTTTTAGAGAGATTAAACTGTGATCAGAGGCACCTAAGGGTAAATGTGGAGAAACTGAGCACTTACTAGGATCAGAAACAAGACATAAGTCGAGTAGATAAGGCAAATGATTTGGGTTGTCTGGAAAGCGAGTTAGAAAGTATTTGAGTTAGAAATAGAGAAAGGCAAATGCCTTTCTCTATATCTAATAATGCCTAATGCCTGCAGAGTCACTGACAGTAGAGCCAAGCCTTTTTCTTTAAGTTATGGGCATTTAATTTATTAGAAAATATTAAATAAGATTTAAAGATGTAAAAGTATTATATATCTTATTTCGCAATTTTTTAAAAATGTTTGATAAAATTTTTTTAGATTGTTATGATTAGCAGGTTTTTTTTTTTTTTTTTTATTTTTATATATATATTGTACTGTATGCTTTATTTTTCTTGTTTTATCTAATGATTTATAAAACAAATTTAAATAAATTTAAATAAATTAAAATCTTAATCATAATTTTTAATAAAAATAAAAATAATAGTAAAAATAGGGTTTTGTAATGAGATTTTTTATTGAATAACAGCTATCGAGTTTAAAGGGATCCCAAACCTCCGAGACATTGTGTTCATATTAAAGAGAATGATAAAAAAAAATGTTTGGGATAAATTTTTTTGAATAAAACAAAAGAATAAATTTATACCAAGAAAAGCTAACATTTTTATTTTAGTCAAAGCTCGCCTTCTCTGTTTTGTTGTAGGCCAAATAGTCAGCATAATATACACCACATTCTACAGACTTGATATTTTAAGAGTTTGATTTTTAAAAGTACATGATGTCTTTGATTTTTTTGTTTGCGTAAAAGATCGATTATGTGAACATACAAAAAAATCAATGATCTCATGCACTAATGTACTACCTCATGTTCCTCTTAGGAATAAAATGCGCTTGAATAAATTATCAAGTCTGTAAATTGTGGCATATATTATGCTGACTATTGGGCCTGCAAAAAAACAGAGATGGCAAGCTTCTACTAAAATAAAAAAGTTAAGTTTTCTTGGTATGCATTTATTCTTTTGTTTTAATCAAAAAAAAATTATCCCAAACATTTTTTTTTTTTTTAGTCATTCTCTTTAATATGAACACATGTCTCGCTGGTTTGGGATCCCTTTAATAATAAAAACAGAGTCAATTGTTTTTTAAAAGTTAAAATATTAAAGACTGGAAGCATTTCCAGATATTGCAATTTGTGATTGGTTATTAAGAGCTTTTCTCTAAACGAGTTTAAGTGATGTATTCAAAGCATTTTTGTTTTGTAATAAATAATTAGCAGCATCAGAATCATTAGGTACTTTTAAATTATTAGCAGCATCAGAATCACTAAGTAATTCTAGAACAATCTATTGTGTGTATTTTTTTCTTTGTTAGATTACAAAATGAGCAAGTGTCTTTTCTAGGATATCCAAAAAAAAAGTTGAATTTTGTATTAAAATTTTTACATTAGGTTTCATACTAACACCTTTCTAAAGGATATTTCTCTTAAAACAGGCAGTACATTTTAAAAATAATTAAGTCTTCTGGGAAGTAAAGCCTGGTAAATTTTGTTCTAGCATATTGAGCAGATTGTCTTTAAAATGACTTAATATGCTGCACTATCACACTAAAGTTTTCAGCAGAAAAAGCATGCCTTGTGTTATTATGACTTCCTCTCATGTCTTTAGTAGGTAGTCTTAATGATTAAAAATTAATTAATTGAAATAACATAAGACAAAATTTGTGTCAAAAAAACTATAAATTAAGACCGTACCTTGTTATTCTTATTACATAGGTGATCAATTATCATAATCATTTTGCTTTCTTTATGAGCTTTTAAATTTCAAAAAAGCCAGTGAAAATCCTGAATGCCCATGCGTTATTGCAGCATATATAAATAACATTGTAGGGTTTAAAAATTTTTGAATTTAGTATACTTATTTTATTTAAAACTATTATTTAAAGATGAATTATATATATATATATATATATATATATATATATATATATATATATATATATATATATATATATATATATATATATATATATATATATATATATATATATATATACCGTGGCTGAAAGAGTCAAACAAAATTTAAACATGAATTGATGCACACACAGGTTTGTGTAGAACTCTTATTTCTCACAATGTTCAAGTGGTACTTATATGAATAACTTTGAAATTGAGGTTGCTCCATAATTGTTTTTCTGCTTTCTGGTTATTTGTTTTTCTGGTAAATGTTATGGACAGAAATAAGTAAGACATATACAAATCCTTTGTTTTCAAGTTGATTAAATATGATATTAGTTTTATTCTATCATCTTCTGTTGTAACTTAAATTTAAAGAAATTAAAAAATTATTTTTTTACATGATGTTCTTGTAACATGATTTTTTAATTTTAGATCTCAAATGAACTCTTTTTTTTTTCTTTCTTTAACTGTTGTTTTTTTTAAAGGTTTTTCTTTGGTTGTGGGGTTATTTAGATCTGCCATATTTTTTTAAAGATCTAAGTTGGTCACATCACTTGACGATTCCTATATCATTGGTTTAGCTATAAATAAATTTAAAATTTGCTTTTTTTTATAAACTAAACATTAGCCAACGTAGTTTGGCTATGTTTAGTTTATAAAAAAAAGTTAGTTAAACCAAGTAGTTTTTTCGAAATTTCCTTTTTTTTAAATGATCAAAGAACCTTATAAAGTTTTTTTTTGTTGTGAATTTTCAAATTGAAATAGCTTAATACAAGAAAATCATTAAAATATCTAAAATATTAAACTTGAAATTTTCAAAATCTAGATATTAGTGGTTTTTCAGTGAGGTTTTTATGTGTGTAAAATGTATGAATTACTTTTTACATAAAATATTTTGTATTTAGATAAGTAAAACACGTTCAAATAACCATAGTACTATACTGCAAACATTAAAAAAGGTATGACTAAAGTCAATACAAAAAAATTTTTTGTTTGTTTTCAAATTATTTAAAAGTTTCAATTAAAATTTATCAAGCAAACTTAAACAAAATATAGGTAGATGTTGGGTGTTATTCTTTATTTGCATCTTTTCCTTTTAGGTTGCTCAAGCTTGTCAGCGGGAGCTCAGAAAAGAAGCTCTGCGATCTCAAAAGATTTCAAAGGATGCTATACCCCGAGCTAGAAGAATGGCCAAAGAGGTAAGAATGAATTTAATTATTTAGTTTATTTTTATATACTATTTTATTTCTAGTAACAATTATAGTCTTTGTATTATAGATGCTCCTATATTGGAGAAGATTTGATCGTGTAGAAAAAGAACACAGAAAAAAAGCTGAGAAAGAAGCTATGGAACAAAGAAGACAAGACGAAGAGATGAGAGAGGTAATTAGTTCATAATTGAAACCTGTAATTGTATAATCATTAAGTTGATAACATGAGATTTAACTTGATAAAGTATGACCTCGGCTTTTTAAATATTATTCTAGTCATTATAATCATATTTAAAAATGCTAAAGTCTTCCTAAAATAAATACCACGTAAATAATATTTAGTTACGAAAAGCTGGCCAGATTTTTTAGTCGTTTTGAGAACATTTTAAAAAGCAAAAAAAAAAAAGCGCTAAAGATTAATTAGACCGATGAGAAACAATTACAAAAAAAGAAAATTATGCAAATAAAATATCTTTAGCCGCGAAAAAACTTAAAGCTAAATAGATTACATTTAGAACAAATATTTTCGAAACATCGCTCTTTTGTAATTTTTTTTATAAAATTAAGCGATTTTTTTTATATAAAATAACAACTTGCGATTGTTTAAAAAAGAAACAAATGCTCTTTATTTAGCAAAGTTCGCAAGTTTTAGTTTTATTTAAGCTAAAATATTTTATAAATAAAAAAGTTAACTTTTTCAATACCTATTTTATGTTTCCCGTAGTTTGAAAAGTTTAAAATATTTTAAGCAATTCTTCTTAGTAAGATAAACAAATGAAATAATTAAATCATTGAATTACTATAGAAATTAAATTAACAAGATAGAAATCAACTAAAAAGGTTAAAAATACTTTATGGCGAGGAAGCGAAACTGCTTCACAATATCGCTGATGATGTTTAGCGAGTGGGCTTTTTAATTTTAATTAGTATTTAAAGCAGAAAAAAGTATAACGAGTTTCAAGGATGGCAACTTAAGCGAAAATAATTAGAGTTGGTAAACCAATATATAGAAACTCTTCTTTATATCTAATTATTTGCTATATATATATATTGTGTTCTGTCGTGACCTCAGTCGCGGTGCTTGTTCATCCGTGAGTTACTTTGAATGCGTTGTTTGTGTTTAGTAACCAGAAACTTCTTATATGTTTGTTACATAATTAGTTTTATTAACTATAACGATTATAACTTCATTGAAAACGCAATTATTTTTGTAAGTCATTGTTTAAATCATAAAAATTGCTTTAAAAGATACATTACGATAAAAAACAGATACACAAAATTACATTTACATAAAGAATGCATACTTTTTAAATAAAAAAATAAGAATATACTAATAAAATCTATAATTTATAATAAACTTTTGAAATTTTGACAATTTAATATATATTTAAAATATTTATTTTTGTAAACAAATAATATATATTCTTAAAACAATTTATGCTAGAAATCTCAAAATGTAACAAATCGTGAATATGACAATTTCTAAATCATTTCAACAGGATACTCTAAAACTTTATTTTGCTAAGTCAGCGTATTTTTTGAACTAATAGAATTAGTTTCTTCGTTAATTTAGCGGGTTTTTAGTGTTCGCGAATATTTTTTTTATTCTTTACGTATGTCCGTAAAATAAAAATTTTTTGTTTCGTACATAAACTTAAATGTTCTCAAACGACTAAAAAAACCTGGCCAGTTTTTCGCAACTAAATATAATTTCCGTGGTCAGTATTCGAAAGCGATCGCTCCCGCTTCCCGACCAAGCCTGTTATATTCAATTAATACCATTTTTTTTATTTGTCTTCATAGTTTTCAATGCTTCTAAGTTTCTGTTGTGTTTTCTCAACTTGAACAAATCTTTAGCAGTTTAAGCACACTCTTTAATAGTTTTCATATTTTTGCTTTAACTTTTTTTTAATTGCTGCTTTTAAATGTTTCTACATACTGCTTTTTACAGTAGTGTCTTGCTAACACCTAAACCAGTTGTGACATGCTGACACCTAAACTATTAAAGTTTTAAAAAATGTATTTAAAACAAATAATCAGGTTTAAAATGTTTACAATGTAAATAAAAAATTATCCGCAAGTTATAATAATTAAAGTGTGAGTTGAAGTGAAACCTGCACTGAGGTCCAGAATTTTTTTTCCATTATAAAAGTTTCTAAACATTGTTTTTTTTTTTTTACTTTATTTTTGAAACATAGGTCCTCCACTCAAAACTGTATTAATTTAATTTCATGACATCTATCTATATTAAATCAAGCTCACTAGAAACTCACTTGTTACTAAATTTGTTAATTATAAAGTTATATTGCTGTATTTATTTTATTAATGAACAAAACTCTTTAAATTTGAAAAAAAAAAAAAGAATAATTTATAAAATATGGCTGCAATAAAATAAATATCTGTCAATCAATCATTAAAGTTATATGGGGAAAATTTTTTTTCCATGAATACAATAATTTCAATCTGTACAATAATAAATCTACAAAAAAAAAGTGGTTTTTCAATGGTAAAATGATCCAAATTAGCAATATGAATCTCATGGCATAAATAAATTTGTTGAATCAAAAATCAAACTTCTTTAAATTTCGTTTAGAGGAAATGCTAACACTTTTTTGAAAGTAAACAAAAAAGTATTAAACACCCACTAAAGTATGATTTTTTTAATATAAATACCTTTTTTTTTCACTAAATACTGGATGTTGTGATATCAATCTATATAATTTTTCTTTCTTTTTTCTATATTTACCTTCCCAGGGTCTTACTTAAGTTAGTTAGAGTTTTTTATCTATGTTATTTTCAGTTTATTTACTTGTGTTTATTAATAAGTCTATTACTAACTTTATTACTAAGTTTATTTACTTACTTTTGATTGATAATTGAAATAACTTTTCAAAAGACCAATTTTTAGGTTGTTGAAAATAAGCTAATTTCTTAAATAAAAATTTCATTAATATAATTCTAAATTTCATTAGTATATTTTTGTTTTTGTGTGCTTAGTATCTCTTTGAATTCTCATTGTTAATTGTAATATATATTTTTAAATAATCAAAGCAAGATGGTTATGATAAATTAAAATTCTTACATTTAGATGAAACGACAGCAAAGAAAACTTAATTTTTTGATCACACAAACTGAATTGTATGCTCATTTTATGGGCAGAAAAATGAAAGGTTTTAGTTAAATCCATAATAGATTTTATGTTGTTTTAATTATATACTATACAGGCCTCTCACATGTTCTGAAATCCTTTAAGTTCCTGATTTTTAAAAATCTGTCCTGAAATGTCCTAAATTATTGTAACTTGTCCTGAATATCCTGAAATTTTTAATCACACTTTTGGTGGCTCTGTATTTCAGGCACCCCTTTTTCTGTAAAAATGTCTTATACAAGACAAATACAGGGGTGGGACCGCAAAATGTGAACGTTTTTGTTTTATTATAACTATTTTCTCGTTAGATGTAGTTGAGTTTATTTGATAAAAAACGAAAGACAAAGTACTAATGAATATGTAAACAAAGTAAAATATAATATGTAAAAAAACAAAAATTGAACATTTAAAATAGTTCATATTTAACAGAAAATTAATTATTACAATCAGAAAAGTGTTCACATTTTGCGGTCTCACCCCTGTATTGTTGAAAACCATACCCTAACCCTGATCCCTTAGGTTTAAGCTCAGGATTAGGCTTAAGTTTTTGTTAGGGTATGGCTTTTAATAAAATAAACTTTAATGTTGGATTCAGGGTTAGAGTATAGTTTTCAATAATTAAAAAACTAATAAAGTTTTCAATAAATGTTAAGTGTAAAACTTGACTCGTTTTTTATGCACTTACTTAAAGGAGTAATAAGTGACCAGGGCCCTGGCTAAAAGCTAGAGTTTTTTTAAACCCTGCCTTAACTAAACTTTAAGATTTAGTAGGGGTTGATAGACGGGGCTAAACAAAATTTATGATATTTTATATATTATAATTTTATGCTTATATTAACTATTTATTAAATACTGGCATATATTTATATATTTTTAAAATTTAATTTACTTCCAACAAGATTGCAGTATTTTTATTTATTCTCTATTTTAAAGTATGAGTTACTTTAAAATAGAGAATAAATAAAAATACTAGGAATGGTTAACTGAAGACTTGATAAGTTGTAGGTTGTATATAAAAGGAAAACATGAAGATGGCTAACAGTTATAAGGTTTTTTGATGTGCAAGGAAAAAAGCTAAATTAATAAAAGTTTTTATAGCATAAAGGGACAGATACATTAAAAGGATGCAACTTGTTGAAAAAGAAACAAGCAAGAATGAGTTTTGGTTTATAGTAATAGAGATGATAGCTTTTTTGAACGTTGACCATGATTGTATTTGTAGAAAAAAAAAGAAATGCAACCTTACAACAAGGGAGAATGGCTCAAGCTTGGCAGATAAATCAGGTCTAATTTAATATTAATATTTTTTTATATGTTAATTTACTTCCCTAAGGCTGCAAACACCACTACAGCTGCAAAACAGCATAAAAGGGCATTTGTTGAGATATTTTTGTAAAAAAGATAAAATAAATGGTCAATAAAGCAACTGTTCAAGATGGTGAAAAATATGGAGTAGAATGAGGTTTGACTTAAAATTGAAGAGTAAGAATAAAAGCTAAATATAAAAAAACAGGTGAGGTATAAACTGGGGTAGCGGAGGAGGAGCCAGTTTATCAGAAACTGCTTTATGTAATATAAATAATGTCCTGAAATTCAAAAAAAATAATTGTCGTGAAATTCAAAAATTCTGTGGGAGGCCTGTATTATACTATATTCTTTCTTTTTTTTTTTTTTAATTATATTTTTTTATTTTTTTTACAGGTAACAATCAAGATTTAAGTGCTCAAAATGAAATTTTAAAAAAGTTGGAAGATACATCAGTGAACAATTACAGTTATAATGCATCTTCGGTTCTTATAAACAATGAAATTGATGATTATGGTACTTTTATATTATTGTTATATATATATATATATATATATATATATATATATATATATATATATATATATATATATATATATATATATATATATTAGGGTGGAGGGATTTTAAAAATTTTCTTTATATATTAGGGTGGAGCGATTTTAAAAATTTGATTTGCCTGAACTGTGTTTCTTCTAAACTATATCAACTTGGTACTCAAAAGAAGTAGAATAATATGCTAATTTTGAAAATAATATTTGTTTTAATTCTAAACTAAAAAATAAAAAAGTAGTGTTGTTTTTTTCATAGAAAGCCCCCGTCTTTATCAAAACGGGGGTTTTAAGGTATTATTTTGCAAAATTTTTTTTACTTAAAATTTTTTTTTTAAATAAAATTATTATTTATAAAACAAGAATTTTTTTCTGCTTTTTTTAAGTTCAAGGTTGATATGGTTTCAAAAAAAAAAAAATTAAAAATATTAGGACCCATCAAGAATTTAGAATCCAAAGAGAAACCTCAAGATCTCATCAAAATCAAAAAATATTTTTTTACTTTCATCTTATAATTAATAGACATCAATTTGTGTCTCAGGAATATTGATTTTTAAACTTTTTTTTTTTTTGCTATGAAAATCGCTCCACCCTAATATATATATATATATATATATATATATATATATATATATATATATATATATATATATATATATATATATATATATATATATATATAAAATCTTGTAGTTTTTTTATTTAGTAAATATTCAATTTTTTTAGTTTGTAAATAGTTTATGTACTGTATGGTTTTTGTTAATAAATAATATTAGAAAATAATATTATTTATGCAGCGATTTTTCCAAATTGGGAATTTAGGTGTGGCTAAAAAAAAAAAAGGTCCTTACATTCTGACATTTTAAAAAGCAGATAAATATCACATTTTTTAATTACAATTAAATTTTAATGAAGATAAATTTTCTATTTTTGCTGGGTTATATTTATAACAGGATTATTTTTCTACTTAATAAATGTTTAATTCTAATTATTTAGCTTGTTTCATTATGAGCAATCTTGTAAAGTTTTTATTTTTAAATTGTTTCTCTTCTTTGTTTGATATACTGCAGTCGTTTTTCAAAACGCCTTAAAATGCTAATTACATATAAGTTATTAAATGCTTTATTTTAAAATACTTAAAAAAAATTTTTTACATTATTGGTATTATTGTTCATCATGTTTTATATTATAATTTTTATCATTAGATAAATTTAATAGTTTAAAAACTTATTTAATTCAATAGCTTTTAAATGAAAATTAAATAAAAGTTTTCAAAATTTTAATAACTTTTAATTGAAAAACTTTGTTAGCTCACCAATTATACAAATATACATTAAATATCTACATAAATTTTGTATTTGTAAATTTAAAGAAAAAATTTTGTATTTATAAATATTGGTTAATAATTAATAATATTATAATATTATTTATCTTCTTTTATGTTTTACGCATATATAACATAGATAATACATTTCATTGCAAGTTTCATTTTTGTTGTTATTTTCGGTTTACTTCCAGGTTTATTTCTGGTTTATTTCCTACTAATTTATTTTACCGAAAGTATTTTCCGGTTTATTTCCAGCTAATTTATTTTACTGAAAGAAAATCTTCTATTATAAAAAAGTTATTAACTTATTTTAAAGTATAGTAATATATAATAATATAGTAAGAATAATAGTAGTAATATGCGATAATATAGTAATATTAATATGCGAATTTCTTTGTAACTTTACTAACTTATGATAAACAGTATATAAGAGTATATAAAAATGTATATAAAGAATTTTTGAATGATAAAAATAAATTAATAAAATAACTTATTAAACATATTGAAATTCTTAAGTCGAGAATAACTGACATCAATAAAAATCTAAAAAAAAGATTTTTTTCAATGTTTGAATAAATGATCTTGTTAATGTTAATGACGACACGTTTTTACACATTTAAAAAAAATCGATCAATTTAATTCATTTTTTTGTTGTTGTGCATACTAATTGCATTTTTTACTTGTCTAGCACAACACTTTAAATCTGAGAATGATTTATTTTTTTACTATGATCTTATGAACCTTTGGGAATTTTAAATCAATTGGGAATGCCGTGTTATACGAGATGCCATCAGGCTGGCTAACACCCTGGTTACTTAAGTATCTATTAGAAGTTATTTCCTCATTAGCTAGACATTTTCTACAGTCTAACCCCTAGCCAGGCAAACACTATTATTAGTTTTATATGTTAAAATGTTAGAGCAAATACTTTAGTTACATAATTTATTTGAAAATAATTGCTAATTAATTGCGTGAATAAAGTTCTAAAAGTAATAAAATATGCATAATTAATTTTTAAAATACAGTTTAGATTATACAGTATCATCAGATTTATTAGTATTGTATTTTGTAAAAAAAAACTAGTAACAAAATAATATATTTTCAATCAATTTTAAGATGCGACTAAAACATTGCCTCAAATACAAGGATCTTCTACCTAGTAAATATTCTGACAATGGTTCAAAATCACAGAGAGTTTTTATAATCATTAACAAGAATCATGAATAAGTATTTAATCTCAAAGTTAAAAAAAAAACTTAGGAAACAGTCAAAGGAAAAAAAAAAACAGAACATTTTTATATTATGTAGCTTTTTTACCTTACCTGCAAACTAACTTTTTATTAATAATTTAAGTTAATACTTTTAACTATAGTTTTGTATTTGTGCTACTTTATATTTTAAGTACATTGACTAAATTAAATAGAGATTGGCAGATTGTCGTGTTCATACATTGACTGAGGGTTTTATTCATCTTAAATTTTTAAAGTTTTTAAAAAGATTTCCTGATTTCTAATACTAGTTCAAAAAAAGTTATAGGAAAATTATGCTTTATAATTTGACATTTTAGGCAAGCATTTTAAACACCTTAGGTAGCTGTTACCAGCCAAAGAAGAAAATTTCTTTATCTTTATTGAATAATATATATATAATAAAAATGTTTAAATAATAAATTTTTTTTTAATAAAAATTTTCAATAAAAAGATTGCCTGCCCTAGCCAAAACTCTGAGTTGATGTAGCGGCACTCCTTGCTTGTTCTACCTATTTAAGTCAGTCGTTGTATGTACACTCCTTACTTGTTTTACCTATTTAGTCATTGTGTGTTCACTTTACGCATGAAGGTTTATTTTTAATATAAAATGGTTTTTTCTATTATAACCTCTTGGTTGTTGTTGCTTTTTTGCAGATGCAGATTCGATGAAGGAGCAGGCTTTACTTAATGCTCAAACTGCTGTGTTAAAGCAGCAAAAAAAGGTTCAAGTTAATTATTTTATTTTTATTATTATGTTATTAATAATATTTTTTCTTGAAGTTAATTTTTATTTTTATAGACAAATTCATTTGCTGATGCAGAAATGAAACCTGGGATGATTTTAAGTTCTTTTGATGGGGCATATAGTCTTTCTGAACCTGCTCTTGATGAAGGAAAACTTCCTCAACCTAAAATATTTGAAGGGAAACTTAAATCATATCAGTTAAAAGTAACTTTTCAATTTTTTTTATCAACGATAATATAAATTGTATGTGTATTTGACTAAACATTTTTTAATTTGCTTTTTTAATTATCTATTAATTTTTTTTTTTTAACTGATGTTCAAATTGTTCAAGTTGTAATTTTATTTGTAACAGGGCATGAATTGGTTAGTTAGTTTGTATGAAAAAGGAATAAATGGAATACTTGCTGATGAAATGGGATTAGGAAAAACAGTTCAAAGCATCTCTTTTCTAGCATACTTAGCTGAGGTTACTTTTTAAAAATATTTATATTAAAAGTTAGTTTATTTTGTTCAATAAGAAAGAAAATAGAAAGGAAACTTGTAATATATAACGGGGGAAAAAAAAATTTTTTTGCTTTAGTTAGAGCGAAAGTTTATTAAATTTGTAATTATTCTTATTTGTGTAGATTGTGTAGTAAGTAAAATTGCTTAGTATGATGAAGCAATTTCAGAAAATACTGGATCTGAATAATTTATCTTTTAATATTTTAATATTGAACTTAATCATATTTAATATTGAATTGACTTACCATGACCCACATTTTATGGGTCAGGACAACAAGTTGAAATGGTTAATATAAGAAATAAGACAATCTGGTCATTTATTTTTCTATTTTGAAGTTTCGTTTTATGAAATTTATTTTTAAATATTTGTTTAGTGATCAAACCTTACCTCAAAATCTGTATAAGTATATCAAATTGTTAATTACTTGTTAAGTTAAAGTTATTAACCTAGACAGACAGCAACTTTAAATTTATATAATTTTTATTGATTTAAAAATCTACTGTTTGTGTGTTGGTGATTTAATAAGCATTATTGATCTTTTCAAAACGTTGCCATTAGTTAAATAAAAACTTACGTTTCGATCTTAAAATTATTTTATAAAACATGGCAATTAATCATTATAGTTAAATTCTTACAAATAATCATTAGATAAAAATGTGATTAAACCAGAAAAACAAACCAAATTAAGAATATCTCAATTTGCCATTTAGATCTCTTTATATATATAATTAGCATTTTTAGATCAAATGCTTTATTTTTTAAGGTTCATAACATATGGGGTCCTTTCCTCGTTGTTGCGCCTGCATCTACTCTGCATAATTGGCAACAGGAGTTTGAAAAGTTTCTTCCTCGCTTTAAGGTATTTTCTTTTCTTTTCAATGGTATATATATTATAATAATGCATATATGTATAAATGTCTGTATTATTATTTTGTTATAATGCATTTTTGATTTTTTTTAGTGGTTTTATTGTAATATTTAAACTTTAAATTAGATAAATATATAGTCCCTGGCTAAATTATTAGATGCATTATAGCTTTTACAATAATTATAAATAAAGTTACATGTTTTGCACAAGTTTATATGTAAAAATTTTTATTTGAACATACATGCTATAAATTTTTTTATTTAGGGGATATTTTTTATTTCTACATACATGCTATGAGTTTTTTATTTTGGAGATTTTTTATACACTTATTATTCATATTCATTAACATATTGCATCACTATGTTAACCAATTGATACACAAATGTAAAAAGCTATGAACTGATTTTAGCCACGTTCTATGGTGAGTCCATGTTTCGATAGCTTTATACACTGTGTTTGTTTCTCTCACAGTTTTATATGGAGTGGTTATTTATTTATTTTGTAGACATTGTTTAAATAATTAGTTGAAATGTTTTCATGAATATAATTTGTAATTTTTCACCATCCTAAAAATATAAAGTGAAGGTCTTGAATGCTAAAATATTTTTCAATCAAATTTTCAAATAAAATATTTTTATATGCTAAAATATATTTTTCAAACAGCAAAATATCACTAAGATTTAAGGTTTCTTAAATCTTTGTGATATTTTAAAATATGAATTACAACAAATAAAGAAAAAAGTAACAAATTGAACCTAAAACTAATCGAAAAATAGAGCAGAAAGCATATTTTTATTCCGTGATTAAAAAGATGTTTAAAGAAAATTTACTTAGAAAACAGGTTTGCTACCATAAAACTAATAAAAGAGCTACTCCAAAATGTAAATGCTTCTGAGACTAAACTTGCTTCTAGACTGTTTTAAAAAAAAAATTGAAGACTAAATTAACAGCTGCAATAAAAGCATGCAATAAAAATGTGGATTTTTTGAGATTAATTCAATTTACCTAGAAAAAATTTATCAGAAATCATACATTTATTATCAATTTCAATGAATTAAAGAAAGACCAGCGCAGATGTTTAGCATGCTTTTTTTTATTTTTTTATTTCTCCACGACAATGAAAACACTTTGTCGCGGAGAAAAGTTTTGTTCTGACTGTTGTTCAATCTCTTAAGCACCCTACAATAATGATTATCTAGTCAGTCATCAATAGCAAAGGTACTGGACATATCTGTACATGTTGAAAGGTGATTAAATGACATACATGAAATGAGTACAAAGTAGTCATTTGGTTCTGCGATTCAAAAATCGTTTTTAAATGGGGAACCTTTCATTGTTATACAAGGTGGACTTTCTTGCCACACAGCACAGTCTGTTATAACTTTATGGAAGTACAAAATATCCCTCTGTTAAATCAGCTGGGTAATAGCCCAAATATTTAAAAAAAATTTTAGCCCAGATTTGTGTTATAGCAAAATGTGGACAGTTAAAATATATATATTCTACTTTGTAAAAATAATAGAGTTTTATAGTGTAACTTGATAATTAGGATTTTATGTAAAATCTTATAATGCATCTAATATGGCCTGTTACTTAGAAATTTTAGACGCAGGGAAATTTTGAACTCTATCCAATTTTTTGGGCTTTTATTAAATATCTAAAAAAAATTCTGATATAAATCTATATTATTTTTATTAAGGTTCTTCCATATTGGGGCGATCCTGGCGATAGAAAAAGTTTACGGAAATTTTGGAATCATTCATCTTACATGATTAATTCCAAGGAGAATGCTCCTTTTCATGTTCTAATAACAAGTTATCAATTGGTAGTTTTTCTTTTTTCTTTTTTTTTTTTTTCTTTTTTTTACTTTATATTAGTTTTTAATGAATACATTTTACAATAAATAAAAATAATTCTATCATTTATTTTAAAAAATAATAGTTATAACAATAATTTTATTTAAACAAATAAATATATTTATAAATTATTTTTAATAATTACAATAAACAGTATGACAAAACCAAAATTGATCATTTAAAAGCTTCATATTGCTTCATATTGCTTCAAATTGCTTTATATTGCTGTACCAGTGCAAGACCATAATATCTCAAAATTTATTTTAAATATAAGATTAGGAATATTAATCTGCATAAATAGAATTTGTGTTTTTTGATTTAAAAAAAAAATAGTTATTTCTTACAATGAAAGCATTGAAGAGTCTCTATTTAGTGTATTATTATTTACATAATGAACTCAACCTAAAACTTTAACATTGAATTTCTCATAATTTTTTGATGTCGTGATTTTGCACTTGTGCAACAATATTTGGAACTGCAACGAGTATGGTTTTGGTTGTAACCAATAAAAAATTTCAATTTTATGCAGAAAAATGCCAAAGTGTGCCCTCAAGCCTACAGGAAACAATGAAAAATAAATATTATACTGTAAACAACTGTGTCAATGCTTCTACTTAAAAATATAAACTTGGTAAATTAAAAATCAAGCATGTTTATGCTATAAGAAATCAAAGTTTCTTTTAGCATAAATGTATGCTAAAAGAAATCTGTATTATAGTTTTTAAATTCATATAATTTCTTTGTTGTTTTATTATTGAATCGATAAAAAACATTTTTTAGATTGTGCAAGATGTTAAGTATTTTCAGAGAATTCGCTGGCAGTATTTAGTTCTTGATGAAGCTCAAGCTATTAAAAGTAGTTCAAGGTATGGTTTTTTTGTAAAACTAAATGAAGAACTTCTTCAACTTTAGTTTTAGTTAAAACTAAATGAAGAACTTCTTCAACTTTATCTTAACTAAACTTTATTAATTGGATTTTTTTAATTTTATTACAAATAAGTTCAAAGCTTGGAAAAAAGCTATAATAGAGGTTGTTTTCTTCCAATCATCTTTTTAACTCAAAAATATAACTCCAAAACAAAAAACTCTGCAAACAAAGTCACTTGATGAAAAACAAGCTAAGCACTGTTCTACTAAGATGTGGATAGCAGAACTGGGTTCAGATCAAATTGTTTTATAAAATGTAATTTTTTTTATTAATCTATAATTTTAATTTAGATTTCAATGTACAAATATTGAGTTTTTGATTATTGGAAACAAATATTTTAATGGTTTATTAGAATATAAACACAATTTTCATTGTTATTTTTCAAAATAAAACAAAAATGAAAAAATAAAAAAGTTTTTTTTTTAACTAACTACAAATGTTGCATATTTTTTTAGCTAAAACCAAATACATTATAGTTTTTGCTGCAGCATTTATGTTTATTTAAATGTAAATATTCATGTTAACAAACCCCATTGACGAGGCTTGGTATTCTAATCATAAACTGATTTACTGCACTGATACTAGTTAATTTTTAAGAAATTAGTTAATACTGCTATCTGCTGGTAATATTAAATATTATAATACAGGTGTTGTTAAGATGTTAAAAAGTCAAAAATTTTATATGATTTAGTTGCAAAAGTTATGACAACAATTATTTTAAAAAATCAGCTTAAAGATTTAATTTCTATCACTTTTTATTTTTCATCTGTTAAGAAAGTTTTCAATTTATTTATTTATTTAAAATTTTACTTTTTTGTTATTCTCAATATATCTATATTACAAATAAAGATCATGTAAATATTAAATAGAAAAATTAAATTAATTTTTTGTTTTGTTAGTATGCGATGGAAAATTCTTTTGGGTTACAACTGTCGTAATCGACTTCTGCTAACTGGTACTCCCATTCAAAACACAATGGCTGAGGTAACTTTCATACTTTTTTAAATAATTTTTTAGTACTTTTAATTTTGGATTTTGTTTATATTTTTGAACATTTGTATGCAATGTCAACATTTTAGTACAAAAATAGTTATATTACTACTTTGTGTTCTGTTTGCGTACAAGTAAACATTTAGTAAAGAGTTTTGCTTAGAAATATTTAGAAATGAAGAATACCTTAATAATTAATATTTAATATTTTTTTAAAATTGCTGTAATTAAATTGATTTTTAAAGAAAAACAAAAAAAATTTAAATTAATTCAAAGTTTTTTGTTGCGCTTAAAAGATATAAAATGTTTAAATGCAGGTTATTCGTATTCTTTACTTTAGCCTAATTTAATTTAGTTTGATTATTATTAAAAAAAAAAAAAAAGTTCATAAAATTTATTTTATGCTGTGCTACTGAAATATTCTAAAAAAAATTATAATTTCTTAAAGAAAATTCAAGTCAAAGATATTTGGCTAATAAAAGAACAAGTTTAAAACTAAATTAGTTTTACTTAACTTAAATTACAAAAGGTATACTAAGTAAAACAAACATTTTTGTTTCAACTCAATTATTTCCTAGATTTCAGAAACTAAAATATTAAATGAATTATTCCTAATAAATCAAATAGGTTTATTTGTAAAATAAAAATAGTATTGAATAAAACAACAAAGCATTAATTTTATTAAATAATAAACTATTTTTATTTAAATATTAGAAATATTTACAAGTGTTTAGTTAATAGAATTATTGTATTTGTTAGTTATGGGCCTTGCTGCATTTTATTATGCCAACCTTGTTTGATAGCCATGATGAGTTCAATGAATGGTTTTCAAAAGATATTGAAGGTCATGCTTCAGAAAAAAAACCAGTCCTAGATCAAAGTAAGTTTCATTTTAGTTACATGTTGACAGGTTTACATGTTTTTAGTTACATGTTTACAGCAAGCCTTCCCTGGTTAGTACATCTTGACAGGGTTTTTTAAATTAGTAGTAAATTAAAAGTAACCTAAGATATTTGCTTTAATTCAAAGATTGTTTTTTTTTTAATATTATGAAAATGATTTGTAATTTTCCTCCTTAAAAATCAGATTTCGCTCAATCAATCACCTCAGATCTCACCCTATGTTTTTTCTAACCCACTATAATGTAAAAAAATAATTTTTAGACTCCTTGTATTTGGTATTTTATCAGAACTTTAGTATTTCAGAAATATTGTAATTTTCAAGCTTTCTAACATATTTTCACATGCATATAAAAGAGTGATATTAAAGAATTAAATTATTCGTACTCAACTTTATTAAATACAATAATGCTGTTATATTTAAGAGTCTTTCAAATACATATTATGTATTTTTTTTTCCTTTTTTAAATCTCTATTTTTAAAATCTACTAATATTTTATTATTAAAATAAACTATTAAATAATGCACTTGATTTAACTATATAAAGTATTTTTCATTTTTATTCTTTTATTATTATTGCTTTTTTTATATTACTATATTTAAAAAACTAATATTACTTTTATTTTATACCGTATTTTTTATCTTCATTACTATTATTATCATTAATTTATATTTATTTTAAAAGCCTTATTAATATTATTTATATTGATAGTGATTCCATTGTAGTAATAGTTTTATTGTCATAAATTTTGCAAATTTTATTTTTGTAATTAAATTTATTCTGTTATTTTTTTTTTTATTTTTTTTTTTTAAGTGTCATTCCATTGACTAGTTTTTAACTATGAGTGACACCTAACCTTATTTATGTGAGTTGATAATATATTATTGTAAATTTTTCATACTTTTTGGTGACATATGGACATGTTAAATATAACATTTGAGTCAAATAAAAGTCACAAAGAAGTTAACAAAGCTAATACTTTAAATTCATGACTTTTGTGTTTAAGTAAAGACAAAATTTATAACATGCTGCATGATTTTGGGATTCACTCAATTTTTTTTTTTTATTTATTTGATTAGATCAACTTTCACGTTTGCATATGATTCTAAAACCATTTATGTTGAGAAGAATTAAAAAAGATGTAGAGAATGAACTTTCAGAAAAAGTAAGGTTTTATAATAATAAAGTTATAAGGTAACAATGAGAACTCAATACTATTTTGAAATATTTCATGAGTTAAAACAAGAAATATCTAAATCTAAAATTGAGATACCTGTCAATCATTAATATTGGTAATTTTTCTTGCTGGAGTAGTCTTCACATTTAAGATAAGTTACCTATATTATTTAGATTGAAATTAAACTAATGTGTACATTATCATCAAGACAAAAACAACTTTACCAAGCTGTCAAGAATAAGATTATTATAGAAGATTTATTACTAACAGCTAATGCTTCTGGTGAATCAAAATCAAACTCTCTACTTATGAATCTTGTTATGCAATTTAGAAAGGTATCATGGTAATGGTTGAGACAATTTTTTATTGCTATAATTTTAAAAACTAACTGTAGCCATTTGACATTTATATATATATATCTATATATATATATATATATATATATATATATATATATATATATATATATATATATATATATATATATATATATATATAATATATATATATATATATATATATCTGTTTTTAGGTCTGCAACCATCCAGAGCTATTTGAACGTAAAGAACCTTTAAGAGGTCTTTTTTTTACAACTCCGCCTATCATCATGAGCAAGTTTATTTATCGACATGGTTTATTAAGTAATTGCTGTACTGAGTTGCGCAACAAATTCTCAATTTGGAATGAAGATTATATTCATACATCACTAGATGAAAATGGTAAAAAAAGTCTTGGTAGAAATATTGACTAATTATTTAATCTAATAGCCAGTATCAAAAAAAATTTAATGCTTATTTTATTCCATCTAGTTCAAATAGATCTGATATATTGTTTAAAATATTTGATATAAATAGAGGAACAAAAAAAACTATTTAATTTTTTTTTTTATTATTATCATTTTTTTTTTTTTTTTTTTCTGTTAATATAAATTGTGTTATTTCATTTTTCTTAAAATGAAATTAAAATTCTTAACATAATATTCAATCTGCTTAAAGTGGGTAAAAACAAAAAAAGCTTAAAAGGTAAAATAAATAGCCATTACAAATTTAAATACTAAATTTAAACTTCGTTTTTATTATATATAATAACAATTAATTTTATACATGTCATCTTTATTGATATTATATATTTGAAACTTAGACTTCATTATTATTCGGTTACATTAATTCATATGCAATGAATTTTGATTGTTTTCTGTTTGCCACTGTCTTGTTACTTTAGCGATATTTTTCTTCAGTTTTAAAAATTACTACGATAATTAAAAAAATTTAAACATATTGTTAGGTACTGGTTGTTACAGTTTTACACGCTTTATTGACTTGTCACCTAAAGAATGTGTACATTTATTTATGAGTTTGGTTTCAAGGTAATAAACTTTTACTTTTTTGTTACTGTTACTGCATGCATAGCATTGTTTATTAAAAATGGTCAATAATGAGCGCTTAACAACTGTAGTTATAAGTTTAAGTAGGTAGTTACTACTACTTTTGTTTACTGTTGCATGTATTTTTAACTATTTTGATTTTTTTGTTTTGTTTTTTTAAATAAAATAAAAAAAGACTTAGTTTAAGGTGATTGAAAAGGCAAATTTTAATGCATAATTACTGCGCAATATTTGGCACCAGTAATTAATCTAGAATTAGTAATATATATTTAGTAAAAAAAATTTCTTTTAAGAAATTTTTTTTACTAAATATATATTACTAATTCTAGATGAATGTCTGAAATTAAAGAAATAAAATATAGTTTTCTTATTTAAAAATCTGTGAAAAGCAACAAAATAAATCAAAAAGTATTTCTCTATATAATTAGATAGCATCTAAACTAAGTTGCACATTTTAAATAACTGATAATTTATACATTAAATCTGTTTTATGAAAAAAACCAAGCAAAATAAGTATATGAAAATAATCAGCCGATAAGATTAAGATAATAATCAGCCAATAATAAGAAAACATTTGTTATTTTATAGATATTTAAAAAATTATATTCATTATACAAAGCTTAGTTGTTCATTTCAAAAAAAAACTTGATAATAGAAGTTATATGTGTTTAGGCCAGATTTTCTATCTTAAATGTTTTTTTGTTTTTTTATTATTATTAAAAACTGAAGTTTAAGGGATTTTCATGTGCAAGGTGTGTGATTATTATTTTTTTCTGTGTGCAAATTAGATTATCATTTATTTTGACTGCTATTCATCAAAGACAGAAGCTCTCTCATGAGAGAACATGGAGAAACAGTAAAAATAAAAAATCACCATGCAGTAGCAGCAGCACTTCAAAAAGGTTTATAGATTTTTATATTCTATTTATTCAGTATATAATTTTTTTATTTATCACTGTTATTTTTTTTTACCTTTTATCTGGTGTTGTTTTTGGATAAAGTTAATGTTAAAAAATTGTTTATTTTTAAATTATTTATTGATAGACTCACACGAAAAGATCTACTTATTTGTCCACAATCCAATTTATATAATGAAGATTTTTGTTTTACTGGTTATGCAAAGTGCTTTTCAACCCATCAAGACTTCTTAATTACTGAATACAAATCCACA